TTGCCAGTTTCATTTAGGAAAGACCTGATCTTTCCCAGGAAACCGACCTCGGGAAGCGGAGAGGGTGGGAACCGGGGAGGCTCTGAACTGTGCTCTGTAGAGGATGAGCCAGTGGGTTAAGTGGACTCGACGGGGCTCCTGCCTGAGAGTGCGTTCCCGTGGGCGGCCTCAGGGGCCCCGCACAGATGAAGGCGCACTAGGGGTGGCATGGCGGGGCCTCTGGCTGTCCCCCAGCTGCTACCCTGGAGGCAGGGCAGGGACCCTGGCAGCATCACCTGTTCCCTGGCGGCGGCCCTGAGAGCCCACATGCCAGGAGCACCTGTGGCGTGGTGTGGCTTTCCTCAGGTGGCCAGCCCGTCTGCTCCCTGCCTGGCCGCCCCCAGGGACTGGGAGGCCAGAAGGCAGGGGCCTCCTGGTGCTCTGTGAGGCCGCTCGGTGGCAGCATTCCCGCTTCAGTTCGGGGGACTGTGACACACAGTTGGGCTGCCCCTGTGACCGGGTGAGGCTCGAGGCCCACTGAGTGCTGAGTTCTGCTTCCAGAAAAGCAGTCCCCTGCCGGCGTGCTGGACACCCCCCTTCCCTGTACCCACAGGTGCCCTGGGGGCCATCCCAGCCATCTGTCACCCTTCCTTCTGTCCTGTGACAGATACCAGAGGCAGTGACAGACAGGAGGGAGGCAGTGTCCGGCAGACCCGAGGCTGTGGTCCCGCAAGCAGCAGACAGTGCACCGGACCTCATGGCCTTAGGAAGCAGAGAGGGACAGGGCCAATGTCCCACTGTCCCCTACCAGGGTACAACAGGGGGGGGGCTTGAGACCTCCCCGGCCCCGTCTCCCGAGGGTGCCACCACCTGGCCACGGCTCTGCAGGTTAGGACCAGACTGCGGCATGGAGTCCTCAGTCAGTACTTCGTAGCATCAACGGAAAACTGAGGCACAACCTGCTGGACCCCAGAGCACCAGCTCCTAACCCAGAGAGGTGCAGCTCTCTGCGCAGTGCCATGCACAGCCCATGGCTCCCGTTCCCTGCCCAGCACCGTCACCATCCGCGCCGTGCCCAGGGCCTCCTCCTATCCTTCGGCCGGGGCACAGCCTTAGGTCACAGGTCACACCGCATCCTCAGGAGGCCGCGACCTCCCTGCCTCTCCCACCATCTCCAGCCTGTGCTGCCCGAGCCCCCAGGCCCCTGCCCAGTCCTCCTGGGGCGTACATTTTGATTTCTCTTCCACTGCCCTCAGCACCTGTGTTGGTTACAGTGGCAGTGCCAGCCCCTCCTAGCAAACCACGGATCCCTAAGTCACTCACAGGGTCCGGGGCCCACCCACCATGCTCCCCGACTCACACGCCTTTGTTCTCTGTCCTCGGCAGTGGTCTGTTCCCCTTGCCCCCGCTCTGATGATCACCTGTGACACAGCTGCGTCTGCCCGGGGGTCACTGATGTGTTCCTCTGTCCCCAACTCTTGTCCCTTCCCTGGGATTTGAAGCTGGGTCTGCCTTGGGCCATCACTCGGGTGTCCAGGCTTCTGTTCTCCTCGAGCTCTGAGTGTCACCCTGGGCCGCTGAGTGGGGTCTGTGCCAGCCCCTCTTCCCTCAGCATGGCCCCTGGGGCTCCAAGCCCCGTCACTTCCCCGCGAGTGCGGCAGTCACCTCCTTTGTGTTGATGGAGAGCGAGCGGGCCTGAGAGGTCCGAGGGGCCGCCGGGTTCTCTCCTGAGCCCTTTACCACTAGGGGAGCTCTGCAGATTCTTGGTCGCTCTCCTCTTGCAGCTCAGCCAGCCCAGATCTGGAGCGCAGGGCTGGCCGTGCTCCCCGCTCTCCTTCCGGCAGAGGTCACCATTGGCCGGGCTCCTTTGGGGCAAACAACCTGGGTTTGGAGAAACAGCTCACTGTGCCCTGCTACCCCTCTCGCACTGGGTTACTGCTTTGCCAGGGGGCGGCTGTGGCTTCTTTGTGGCCCCCTGTCACTCACCCCTCTCCTGAACATGGGTTGTGTCGCCTGGTTCCGTTCCCTCGAGGTGAGCACTTCTGCCTGCCTGGATGGCACAGAGCAGGAGGCACCCGGCCCTTCCTGCCCCTGCAGAGTCTCCTTTAGGTCCCAGGGCAGGGCGAGCAGCAGGCAGAAATGTCACCGAGGCCCAGGAGGGAGGGAGGCAGGGTGCAGGTAGGGGCACAGCAGTGCGGCACAGGTTCCTGCCCCCCTCCTGGGTTTCCCTCGCCCCATTTTCTGGCCCCTGTGAATGCTTCTGAGGGTGCTCAGTCCTGTGTTTGAGTCCCGGCCTGGCCACCTCTATGGCTGTGTGGCCTTGGGTGACAGGAGGGCCCTCTCCGGGCCCCGGACCACAGGAGTGAGGACGCTGTAATGGGTTCCAGGGCTGCTGCGCGATCGCCCCCTGTTGGGTTGACTTTCCCCTGCACTGTCAGTGCCATGGTGAGCTCCAGGCTCAGTCCAAGCCTCTGCTCCCCGGCAGAGCCCCTCGCCCCGTAGCCTCCGGCGCGGTCCTGCGGACCCGGGGGCACTCGGCGTGGCGCAGGCCAGGCCCTGGCCACTTACTGCAGGGCGGCTCTGGAGCAGGGGATGAGGCTCCCAGGCGGCGGGCTGAGGCTGCGGAGCAGAGCTTCGGATCTGGAGAGGCTGGGCTGCAACAGGGAGCAGAGTGCCTGCGGGCCCATCTGCATACAGAGCTTTACTCGGGCAGCACCGTCCTCTGCCACTGCAAACAAGCATGGGGTCAAGCGTCTGCGTCCTAGTCCTTGCAGCATGACTGACTGTCCCCACAAATGGGCAGGAGCTGGGGGCAGCCCGTCCTCGCGGACCCGGCGGCAGACTCCGCCCCACAGACCACCCCCAGCTGGGACCTCAGACCGACTCAGCCTCATGGAGCTGTGGTCCCGGGGTATCTCGCCTTTGAGCCTCATTTTCTTCATTGGTCAGGTGGGGGCTTCAGGGCCTCCCTGGGGTGCTGAGGGTTAGAGAGGAATTCATGAAGGGCTACAGAGCCCCCATTTTCCTGGCTCAATGCCCATTCCCAGGCTTGGGGCCCAACCCCTGCCGAGCAGTCCTAGCACAGAGCCATTGCCTGTCAGGACTGAGCACCCAGTGTGTGTAGCCCTGACTCAGGGCCCTGTGCAGCTGTCACCCGCACAGCCCGGCAGGAAAACCAAGGCCCAGTGGGGAGGGAGCTGGGCTTGAACCCAGGTGTATCTCCCGTACTGCTGTGTGGTGGGAGGTTGTGGCCTCTCTTCTGCCCTCAGTCCTATGTCCTTTGTCCCCACGAGGAGCTGGGAGCCTTCGTGTCTCTCCCCAGCATCCCTGGTGGCCCCAAGAGCCTCTGCTTCCTAGCAGAGTCTGTGGTTGGCAAAAACAGCGGCAAGGCTGGGAGGAAGGAGGCTGGCAGGAGGCTGAGGCAGGAGGCCTCCACTTCCCTCAGATCGCCTCGCCCTGGGTCTCTCGCAACCTAACTTCAGGTGTGTGTCAGATGCATGTATCACCTGCCACAGGGGTATGGAAGAAAGGCTGGGGGTGCAGGGGCCGGGGGTCCTGTCTCAGTCTTCCCAGGGGCAAAGAGCTCAGGAGGTCGGAGAGGGGCTGCTGGGTGCCAGGTGAGTTCACTGAGCTTTTGTCAAGCACACATGTGGTCCTCTCAGCCCCCCTAGGCCATAAAAGGGGGCTGGCATGGAGGCCGGGCGTGAAGAGGTTCCAGTGGCTCAGGCCACACTGGTGTCTCTGTCTGAGGCCTGGCGTGGGGCTGTCAGCTGGGACACAGGGCAGCAGACCCTGTCGTCGTCCTGTAGCCTGACCTCGGGGGCAAGAGGACAGTCCCAGCGATGTATGAAACGTGACAGTAGCCAGGGCCTCTGTCACCTGTGGTCACTGGGGCCAGGATTCCGAAATGGCAGTGGTATAACTTGTATATCGTGGCATGGTCACTGAGCGTGTTCAGGAATAAACACCTCTTGGCTTAGTTTGTGGTCCGAGAGGCACGGACCTCAGCCCATGCGTCGCCTTTGGCCCCAAGCATTCACTGTCTGATCCCACCAGGCTCCGACTCCTCTCGTGCCTCTTAGGTGGCTGAGGCGGCACAGCGTGGTGGGCTGGCCCTGTCCTGGGACACTCCTCTGCTGCCCTGTGATGATGCCGTTAGGGACCACAGGACACTCGCAGTCTTGGCCACAAGCTGAGACCATGAAGACCGCAGCTTGTGTTTTTTTCTGTGCAGCCAGGGACTTAGAGTGGCTTCTGCTAAACCTATGGCCCCCACCTGGGCTGCAGACACCCAAAGGGTGACCAGAGGTGGAGCCACGCCTGCCTTTTGCTTGGTAAACGCCGGTCCCTCCTCCCACAGAGTGCAGGGCAGCTTGGGCTTGTGGCCCCTCAGGATCACAGTCACCCATGCCCAGAGGAGTCACCGTTGCAGGGAACCCAGTCACCTCGGACTTCGGCAGAGCAGCAGTGACTGCGACACCCCGGTCAGGAGGAGTCCGTCTGAGTTATGGAAATCCGGAGATCCACGCCCACCCCAGCGCTCCAGGAAGTGGTTTTGTTTGCACAATCTTCTTTGTCAGAGCCCCCTCCAGCCCCTCAGGCTGGCCCCCCACCCCAGCTTCTCTCCCCCTAATCAAAGCCTGTCCTCCAACGTGCGCTTTTGTTTAAATTTCCATTCTCACTAAAACTGGGACCCGCGTCTGCCGTGACCGGTGTACTTCCCCGCCCTGGGTGCGGGCACAGGAATCAGCCCGCGCGGGGTAGTGCTGTGTGGGCCCTTCCTGGATACAGGCAGGTGGCTGCAGACAGTCCATCCCAGGTGGCGGGAAGGGGCTGCGCCCAGGAGGGCAGGCGGTGTGGGTCACAGCAGCGGGTGTGGTGAGTGCTTTCTGGGGAAGAGGACTTGGGGCCCACTGGCCCTCACAGCCAAGGCTGCATGGAGTGGGAGGAGGGCAGAGATGGCAGACGCGGCTCCGCTCAGCTCCGGAGGGAGGACGGTCTATTTTAGCAACCCGGGAGGGCGGGGGGGATGGAGGAGGGAGGCGGTGCGGGGCTTCGGTGCGGCAGCTGGGCTCCTGTGCCACTGCGGAGGCTGCGGAGACCCCTTCTGCCCGACCTGCCCGACCCGCAGGCAGCAGGACGATGCTGGCGGTGTCGCTCAAGTGGAGGCTGGGCGTGGCCAGGCGGAGGCCCAAAGGTACAGTGATGGGCGGGAGCTGGCGAAGAAGTCCCAGATTTGGGTCAGGGTCCCCTGACCCGTGCTGTGCTGTGCCCCTGTCCCTGTCCCTGTCCCTCGGTCTCTTTGTCTGGGCTGCTACCTCTCTGCCTCTTTCCCGCTCTCGCTCGGTTCCTGTCCTGTCCTCTCTGTCCTCACCGCCTGTCCTTGTTCTCCTGGGCTCCTTTCCTGGTCTCTGTCCCTCTGGTGTCGCTCCATTAGCATCCCTGCAGGGGCCTGGGCGGCCTGGGGGAAGGTGCTGGGCCCCCAGCCGGGGACCCCAGGCCTCGCAGTGCCTACTGCCTACCCGGGCAGGTGAGGGGCAGGGTGGATTTGCAAGCTCTGTGCTGCAGGCTGTGAACTAAGAATAACCCCGACTGGCAGGAGCAGGCTTGGGTGTTAACGTTGTACTGCTGCACACGGGAGGTCGCCCTGCCCTATCCTGATGGTGTAGGAGGAAATCAAGGCACAGAGAGTTTAAGCCGCTTACCCGAGGCAGCACAGCAGACCCTTGCTAGCCGGTTCCCGCTGGGAGCAGGCAGCTGCCCCGGGCTGCCCTCCTGGGTCTGTGGCCCCTGGGCAGGGCATGCACTGGCCCCCAGCACCCCGGCAGTTACAAGTCTGTGCAATGAGGTGTTTCCTGTCTTCTTTTTCAAAATATGAACGTTTCAATGCCTGGGACCCCTTTCCCTGGCTCCCGCCACATGGTTAATCTTTCCTGGGTGAGACCCCAAGTTCCGTCCACACCTCATGATTGCTTTTAGGGTCGCAGGCTGCATTGAGGTTTGAAGTTTGAGGGTCCTGCTGGAGCTGACAGAAGGAAGCAGTGGCTCTGCTTGAGAGGTCAGGGCAGCTGTGAGGGTGGAGTCGCTAAGGAGAAGTAGGGGTTTACTGGGGAAGGAAGAGGGAGAACTGCTTGTGTCGATGCCTGGGAGCTTGGAAGCGCTCCCTGCAGGACCAGAGAGACCTGCAGTCAGCACGGGGGTGTGGGGGGGAGGCGGGGCCGGGCATTGGAAGAGGAGAGTGCGGTGGGGCTGGGACTCACAGGAAGCTCTGAGGCCAGAACGGAGGCTGCTTTGAGTGCAGGGCGGTGTCAATTTGATCTGCAGGCCAAGAGGACTCCGGGACCCCAACCCTGTCCCCACACTTAGGGTCACATGGGCCCCACCCCCAGCCCATCCTCCCATGCCACAGTGTCCTGGGCCAGGGACCCAGGGACCCAGGGACCTGTCCCCGCTCCCCTCCGCAACTCGCGCCAGTGGCTTGATCCTGGCAGCCTGCAGAACTCCGGCTGGTTCTTCCCTCCCTGATCTAGTGGCTGCTGTGTACACTTGGAGCGGGTGTGGCCGGTCAGCTGACTCTCCCCCCTGGCATTGGGGGAAACTGAGGCCCCAGAGGAAGCGGCTCCCCAAGGCCTTCCCCGGAAAAAGGAGAGACGGAGTAGGGCTCCCTGGCCACTCTGCCCTCGGCCCCTCCCCAGGGGCTTGGTGGAGTTGTCGAGGCTGTGTCTCCTGCTCCGCTTCATGCCTGGCCCCTTGCTGTTCCCCTAGTCCCTTTTGCAGAGCCACGAGGCCAGGCAAGGTGGGTGGACAGAGCCAGCCCTGCTCCAGCACCCTGGGGTGCTGTCCTCGCCCCTGCCCAGGTCCCATGCCCGGCTCTGGCTGTGTCTGTGGCCGGGTGGCCAGCGACGTGGCATCCTCCTGCCCCCCTCGCCTGTCTGCGGGGGCTCTGCGGCCCCCTCCCTCTCAAGTGGTCACTGTGCCTCCTGGCCTCGGTTTTCCCTCTGTGTCTGGCTGTGGTCCTCGGCGGGGGCCCCCCTTCCTCCCACTCACTCTCGGGCCACCCTGCCTCTCGGCTGCGCCTGCCCGCTGTGTCTGGCAGAGGCGCAGGTGACTCACTGCAGATGTGCCGCCAGAGACGGCAGCAGCCATGTGACCCGGGCAATGTTGGGCCAGGTTCAGGCATCCTGCAAGTGGCTTGGGGGCCTCAGGGCCGCTGCAGTCCAGGCTGGGATAGAGGTGCAGCCTCCTCCCCGGACCCACTAGGCTGCTCACATGGGAGCCTGCAGCCGCTTCTCCCAGCTGCCGGCCAGCAGGGACCAGGCTGGGACTCAGGCCTCTGAGAGGCAATGTGTCCCTCTGCTCTTGGCCCTGCTCCTCTCCTGTGCCCCAGATGTGCCTATGACCTCCCTCTGGACTTCCCTTCAGGTTCTGTGCCTCCGCAGTGCTCCGAGCTCCATACACATCTGAGGTCGAGGGCCGGGACTTGGGTGCCAGGAAGGGACAGAGACATATAAGCACTGCCTTTGACACTTTGGGGACCCCTTTGATCAAAAGGACACCTCAGGACATGTTGGAATCCTACCAAGTTGTGGTCAGTTTGCCCACAGCCCTCACAGGACTCTCATGGTCAGCTTGGAGGAAACTGAGGCACAGAGCTGGAAGGGACCTGGATTTCAGGCCTCCTGCTTCTGAGGACCTGGCCTATCTCTTCCCCAAGTCCCTGGCCCTGTGCTGTCCTGTTCTCCCTCCACCGCTCAGACACTTTGTCTGGTGCACGTCCCCTGGGAACCTCTGCCAGCTCTCCTGTGCACTAGATCACAGGTCTGTCTGCTGGGTGCCTGCTGCCCCTCTGCACAGCTGAGTTTCCACAGGTACTGGGTGCTTGGTAAACATTCTCTGATAGCCAGGTGTGGCAGCACAGGTCTGTGATAATCCCAGCGCTCAGGAGGTTAAGGCAGGAGGATGGTGAGTTCCAGGCCCCCTGGGCTACATAGTGAGATCTTGTCTCAGAAATAAAAGCAACTCGGAGGCTGAGGCAGGAGGATCATTGTGAATTCAAGACAAGTCTAGGCTACAAAGTGAGCTCAAGGCCAACCTGAACTGCATATCGAGACCCTGTCTCAAAAAGACCTAAAAAAAAGAAAACCAAAACTACATGTTCGTGCGGGTAAGGGAGCTGGAGCAGGGCCATGGCCACCCTCACCCCGTGTTGTCCTCAGTGTTCTGCTCATCCTTATGGGAGCAGCCTGCCACCAGCACTGTAGTGGTCCCTACATGACCAGCCAAGCCCTGGATGGTGGCAGCGGGACCCACCTGGCTTGGTGAGACTTGGCTGGCACCCAATAGATGCCGGAGACAGGCAGTACATGCAGGAAGAAGGCGGCACTAATTCTCCAACCTGGGAACTCTGGGGAGGCTTGAGATTGTCCTGCCTCAGCCTCCAGAGACTAGTTGGAGTCATAGGAGTCACCACCATGCCCAACTTGAATCTGCACCACCCACAGGTGCCACTAATGCTGGTCCTGGGGCTGTGCTTGTCTGGCATCCCTGCCTGGCCCGTCTCGGTCCTGCCCGTCCTGCCTCTGTGGGCCTCTGTGTGGAGCTGCACCCCCTGCTGTGGCCTCCCCGCCCCCTGCTCCTTCCTGCCCTTCAGCATGTCAGGCTCTAGAGCTGCTCCCCAGGGAGCCAGGACGGAGCGTCCCCACCCCTCTGCACCCAAAGCCCCCAGGTGAGCAGCCCCGGGCAGGGCAGGCCGCTTAGCCTCTTCGCGTGGAGTCTCGGATGTAGATCTTGTCTCATTCCAAAACCACAGTGTGGGTGAAATTAGATGGAAGTGAGCAGCCAGGTATTGGGAATTGGCAGATCCGGAACTGCCACACAAAGCCCATAATCCTCCGTGACCTTTCCCTGGCTCCGCGCCTGCAAAGGTAAATTTCAGGCGAATCCTGGGGCCAGACTCAGCTTCCCGTTTGCCAGGACAGAGGTGGTGGCTCCGTGCACCCCAGCTGAGCCCAGCACCTCCCCGGCCCGAGAGAAGACTCCAGCACGTGGGTCCCGGGCTTCTGAGCGGACCCGAAGCCTCTTGCCCCGGTGCTGGGCAGCACATACCCCTGCCGGTGCCCCCCGCCTCCCATGGCCTGGGTCCCCTGCACCTGTGCTGCAGCCAGGGGTACACTGGGCTATTGCATGGCTTGATACTGTCCCTGCAAGTCCTGGCGTCACCGTCACTGCCGTCTCCGCAGGCACCTGAGTGACTCCTGGCCCTTGGCTGGTGGGTGGGGACAGATGAGGAGGGGGCAAGGGGTTAGAGGAGACCCGCGTGTCCCTGGGATCAGTGGTCAGGGCTGTGGCCGGCTGAGCAGAGGGGCAGCTGCCAGCTGTGGCTGGAGGGGACCAGCTGCCCTTGCCTGTCAGGCGCAAAGGCTAGCACCCTTGATCTTCACCAAAAGCTGGTGGACACTGGTGCAGAGGCTGCCAGCACCCTGCCTGGGCCAGCTCACAGGAGAAACTGGTCCTGGGGGAGCTCCTAGGGGGGCCAGTGGGACCTGGGGAGGGGCCAGGCTGGCTTGTCCCAGGCACCACTATGCTTTGCCCTGGATCCTGCGCCGCCCTAAGTTACCACGTTCGGATGACGCTCATACCCCTTTCTGATGTCCCAGGGCCAGGCAAGCGCCTGCAGGAGCCGTCCGCACTGCCTGCCCACACTGCACATCCGCACTGGGCATCCACACTCCCGTCCCAAGTACTGAGGACGGCGAGTCCCCTTTAAGCAGAGAGCCGCCGCCTGGGAGCTCTGTCCCTCCCCTAGCCCCTCCCTGGGGACAGGGACAGCGACACTGCAGGCCGAGGTGGGCCACAAGGACCAGCAGCATGCTGTGCGGGCTGCGTGGCGAGCCCCCTGGAACGGAGGGTAGGTCATGCCCAGGCACAGGCAGAGGGGCAGGGGGCGGTGACAGGCGGCGACAGCTGGCACTCTGGTCCTGCAGCTGCTGCCCAGAGACAGGATGGGGTGGCTGGAGCAGGCTGTCTTCCCAGGGGCCGGGGCTTGGGGAGGGGTCAAGCACACTGTAGGCGCAGGGAAGGGAGGCTGGGTGTCCCCAGGGGCTCAGAGGGCTCAAGGGGCTCTGTGTGCACCCCAGGGTGGGTGCCAGGCCAGACGGGTGCAGGGAGCTGAGGGGACTCGTGAGGGGCCCAGTGCCTCAGAGAGGGCCAGTATGGCTGCTCCCTCCTCTGTCCATCTGTCTTTCTGGCCTTGGTCTGACCGCCAAGGGAGGCCACTCTGCCTTCACACCTGGGTCCCACCCTGCCTGGTGCCTCCACCTTTGGCATAGCTGCTCCCAGAGGGGAAACTGAGGCTGAGGAGGGCAGGCTGAGATATTGGGGCCCAGGGGAACTGTGGGGACAGAGGCAGGACTTAGCCAGACCCAGGGCAGTCACTCAACCGTCATGACCCCCGAAGTCATGCACTTTATCCTCCCCATTTTGCAGCTGGGGAGACTGAGGCACTGGTTGTCGGCGTCTTGTCTGTCACACAACAGGCTGGGATGCCCTCGCTCACGATATGGGGCTGTGATCAAAGGCACTGCCTTCCTGGCCCGGGCACCCCATCCTTCCAGCTCAGAGCCCATGAAGGGTTAGTGCCCAGGACCACACCCTACCCTGGCTTGGGCCATGAACAGGCCCTCCCAGCCCCCAACGGGCACCTGTGCCCATGGCAGGGAGCTTGCTGAGAGCCAGATGTGACGCCAGCTCCCATGACCACACTCCAGGCCTCTCTGGGCCTCACTGGTGTCTTCTCTCTTTGATGACTTCCTGAACCCCAGCTTCACCCACATGGCCCCATTTGGCCTCCTCTCTAGGCCCTAGAACCTGGTGATCACACCTGCCTCAGCTGATGTGGCTGGAGGTTGGTCTGAAAAGCCCCAAACTGGAGCTTCAGGCACTGTGGGATCCAGGTGCTCAGATGCCGTCACTAGGGCGCTGGGCTGGCTATCCAGCTTGGCCTGGTCACAGGCCTCCCTGGAGCCCAAGGGGGGTTGGGCCTGGGCATGGGATGGCTTTGCAGTGTGGCCGCCCTGCTCGGATGCTGCTGGGGTCCTTCCTCAGCCCACACCCTCCCCCAAGGACCCTGTTCACCTCCACCACCCGAAGAGCCCTGCTGGGTGCATGGTGTCTGTCTGCGGAGCGACCCCTGGCTCCTGTGGGGCTGTGGCCCGGAGCTCAGGGCGGTGGCTGTGTGTCTCTCTGTCAGGCTCTGCCCTTCCTGTCCCCTGGCCATCAGTGCCTCCTCCCTGCATCCGCTCTCTGGTGAGAATGGGAACTGAGCTCAAGCCAGACCCTGGGCACCCTCGTGCCAGGCAGTGTCCCCTTTCCTGACATGGAGGCAGGAAGCAGACAGGACGTGCAAGTGTGAAGGCAGCAGGGCCTGACTCGGGGGGTCCCGGAGCGCCGGAGGAACAGGCCTGGGGCAGCGCCTCATTGATGGCTCCTGGAAGGGGAGTCTTCCAGGGGGCGCTTACAGCACCCTCCTGGCCCCGTGGGGCTGGGACTCCCCTGGAGGCCACCGCCTGCCTGTCTGGAGGGAGACCAGGGTGAGGAGCAGCTGGGGGGGAGGATTTCCATACCTCTTCTCACATCTTTGTGCCTTGGTCTCCCTGTCTGTGACATGGGCACAGTCAGGAGCACTTGTGCGGCTCTCAGGGCCCTCAGGATGAGCTGTCACCTTGTGTCTACCCGCAGAGGGCTGCTTCCACCCCCTACGCATCCCTGTCCCGGTGCCATGGGTAGAGGGTGTTGGCAGCTGGGAGACCCCCAGGTTGCTAGGGTTGCACAGCTGAGGGTTCCACTGCCACAGGGAAGATCCTTTCACTCTGTCCTGGGCAGGGGCTATGCAAGGAACCTCATAGGGGGCCACACGGCCCAGGAAAATCTTGGCTCTGCCACCAATGGACTGTGTGCTCCTGAACAGTTCCCTCGACCCCTCTGTGCCTTGGTTTCCTCATCTGTAACGTGGGGATGATGGTGGCTTCTAGCACTTAGGATGACCATAAGGATAACATGCTAATAATCTCGAAGGTCTTACACCAAGGCCTGGGTCCACATTCTGTTGGCCCTTACCTCTCAATGTTACTTAACTCCTCTGTGCTCAATTTCTCCACCTGGAAAATGGGAATGGTTCTATCACCTCAAAAGCAGTGAGGAATCAATGAAATTGAGCCTTGGAAGCACACGGGACAAGCCCCATGCTTATCAAAGGTGTGGATGTGGTGGAGACCAGGGAAAGCCTTCACACACCCAGTGTCATGGTGTGTCCAGCAACCTGCTTCTCAGGAGCTAAACCTGAGGCTCAGAGAGAAGTGACTGTTTCATCCCCAGCACCTGGGATGGATCTGGCCAGGTTGCCCGGCCACAAGCTCAGATCCTCCTGCCTCAGCCTGTGCCTTGGGACCACAAGCATGGGTCATTGCTGGCCCTCGAGTAGCCCTGCTGATGACAGCTGTCGTGCTGTCCAGGAAGCCTGTAGGCGCTCATCCTGTCGGGGCCCCTCTTTCCTCAATGCCTCTCCTTACAGCAGTGGAGCCAGGCTTGGGCAGTGCCCGCCCCTGCCCTTGCCTAGGCAGGACCCTGGCACGGCTGCCTGGCAGCCACCAACTTCCTTTTCCTTTGTCAGAGCTCAGTGCCCCCTGGGGACCCAGAGAGAGAGGCCAATCACAAAGCCAACAACGCTGGAGAAACGAGTGACAGAGGATCCCACCCAGCCCCCGCCAGAGCGGGGCAGAAGGGCTGGGGTCTGCACGGACTGTGTCCTCCCTTCCTTGTCCCGGCACCCAGCCCGCGCTGCCCGGCTGTGGAAGCCGATCTCCCTCCAAGCGAGTTCTTGCAGGATGTGGATGAAGGCGAAGCTTTAATTGCCCGTTGCTGGAAGGAGACAGGGAAAAAAAAAAAAAAAAAAAAAAAAACGGATAAAAATATCTCTGTTTTTTTATGCACGTTTCCAGCTGAAAATCGGTGGGAAAGCTGTTTTTGAAAAGCCTTCATCTCTAAGCATATAATTACCAGGTCCCAGAACGAATGCATGAGCAGGAGAGTGTACGCAGGACCTGGAGGGGGGTGAACCCATGGTTTCTATAAATAATCACCCTAATGTCTCGGCCAGCTGCCCTCAGGGAGGGGCGGCCCCCATGCTACAGACAGGGGTGGAAATGCCAGTCCCACATCCAGTGGGTGGTTCTGATTCTGCTTGGAGCTTGAGTTGAGTGCTACCTCAGTTTCCCCACCCAGGGAGTCTTGAAAGGAGGCACTTTTCAGGATCTTGAATACCCAGACACCTGCCGCCGAAGAAGCTGGGAGCAAACTCTGGAAGCAGAGATGTGACCCTGCAAAGATCCCATCCCCCTGGCAGCCCGCGCCCTGCCAGGTGATAGCTCAACCCTGCAGTCCCACGCACCTGGCCCGGACTGTTCTCTTGTTGTTGCAACCAGGGCTCAGGGGTCCCTGGTCCTCACCTGCTCCCTGGGGTTCCCCAGCCTGTCTGGGGTGAGTTTGGGCCTCAGTTTCCCTGCCCTTCCTGAGAGATGACCCTGGCCTCGCCACATACAGGGATTTGGGGCTGGACTGCCTTGCTGGCCCCACGCTGATGGGATGCTGGCACTGTAGCTTCTGCTGGGAGGCCCATGCAGCAGCCTTGCAGGTGTGCACGGGCTTTGATCTCAGTACTCAGGGGTCCCCTGGGGCTTGGGAAGTGGCTCTGGCGGCTGTTCTGGAAGGGCTGTGCTTAGCGGCGTGTCACCCACATATAAGGGGGTGCTCCTGGGAGCAGGGTCTGAGGCAGACTGAGCCAGGACAGCCCCCGGAGCCTAGATGCCTTTGGGCTTTCTTGTGGTGTGTTTACTGATTATCGGTTTTGCAGTTGGGGCAGAGTGAAGGTGGGGGACACAGGGCCAAGCCCCATCCCTTACCCAGCCGGAGCCCTACCCCTTACGAGAGCCCTGCCCTGGCTGCACAGCAGAGCTTCTCTTGGTGTGACATTGCTGCCTTAGAGGACATTCATCTGTGTTTGAATTCGATCCTTCTGTTGTCACAGGTGCTCCTGGCATCTGTGGTAGGAGGCTGGGGTGCTGCTGACTGTCCTGCCGTGTAGAGGTTTAGAAATTGTCTTGGTGCGGTGGAGAGACGTGGCAGATGTGCCCCCCTCCACCAGCTGGGCCTGGGCCCACAGGCTGTTCTGTTCCTGGCTGGTGAGCCTGTCTAGTTGCCCATGCTAGGGAAGATCTGGTTTCTCTGCAGCTGGGAGCAGGGACCAGGCCAGGAAGGGGCCTGGCTGAGCATCAGGGTCTCTGAGCTTGGGGTTGAGTCAGGAGCTGGTGACACCTGATGGGAGAGGAGGCCTCAAGAAGCTGCGTGTACAGGTGGCCTGGTGCACAGGTGGCCTGATGGAGTGTGCACAAGCACAGGGTAGCAGGAGTGAACCCAAGGCCTCTTTGCTGAGCTCCATTCCAGGTCCTTTCCTTTCCTTTCCTTTCCTTTCCTTTCCTTTCCTTTCCTTTCCTTTCCTTTCCTTTCCTTTCCTTTTCTTTTCTTTTTCTTTCCTTTTCTTTTCTTTCTTTTCTTTTCTTTTTTTTAAAATTTTGAAACAGAGTCTCACTAAGTCCCTAAATTGCCCAGCCTGGGTTTAAACTTGTGATCTTCCTGCCTCAGCCTCTCACAGTGCTGGGATGGTGGGCCTGTGCCACTGTACCTGGCTGTACTTTTCTGATATTTGAAATAGATGAAAAACTTCCTAGTAACTTAAAAACCCCCAAAGACAGAATTCACTGCAGGTTAGACACATCCCAGAGAGAGGGCAAGGGATTGAGGAAACCCGGGGGTGAGGGGGGCTCTGGATTGTGGAGGTGGAGAGCACCTCTCCCAGGGGAGCTGGCCTGTCCCCTTGGGGCGCCATGGAGGTCAGAGGACATGGCTCACATACCACAATGTGCCCACCCCATGAGGTCACGGTCCCGGGTCTGCTCAGGACCCTGGTACAGCACCACTTCTCGGCACATCAGCACCTGCGTGTGTGTGTGTGCGTGTGTGTGTTCATGTGTGTGTGCATGTGTGTGTGTGTGTGTGAGAGAGAGAGAGAGCCCCTGTCCGGGCAGGCATGCAAGCACATCCCCAAGAAGAGCTAGCACACCTGGATCTCATTTGGGACCGTGCAATGCCTGGCTATGTGGCAAGGGTGCAACTTGTCTTATCTGGGCCTTGGCTTCCTAATCTGTAAGGTGGGGTCATTTCAGCAGCCCTGGGTGTCTGGCATTTGACTGCAGGGCAGCTGTGACATCTGGGGTGCGGTGGACACCCACAGGGCCACTCAGCGAGAAGAGTGCAGCCTTCCTGGGACCGGCCCTCCAGGACCCAGCCCAGGCCCAGGGTGCTGGCAGAGAGGGACCTGTTGCGCAGCCCTGGGAGAGTCCTGGGGCCAGGCTGGAGGACCGAGACTTAGGGTGACTCTGTCTCCACAGACGACCGGCCTTATTGCAAAGGCGGCCAGGACGTGGGTGGCGGTGAAGGGGCCCTGGTCTGCCGCAGACAGAGCATCCCAGGTATGGCCTCCTTGTCCCTGCCTCCCGTGTGTCCTCTGTCTGGCCCTGGCTACCCTGCCTCATTGCCCGCTCACCAGCCATCTTCACCTCCGGCAGAGGAGTGCCGTGGCGTCACTGTGGTGGAGCTGACCAAGAGCGAGGGCAGCACGCTGGGCCTGACCGTTTCAGGTGGCACCGACAAGGATGGGAAGCCCAGGGTCTCCAGCCTCAAGCCCGGGGGGCTCGCGGCCAGGTGAGCGGCGGAGTGGGCAGCAGACCAGGCTGAGCATGTGACTGAAGCAGGAAGGGTCTGTTCCTGGCCTCAGCGTCTCCGAGGTCCAGAGCCCAGCACTCCGCACACACCTTTGCTGCACCGTTCCCTCTCCTGGGGCCTGTTCCCTGCGGCTGGTCCTCTCCGTGAGACACAAGCCGCTGTTCCCCTGGGAAGTCCCGTGGCTGTCCCCTGGACCAGTGAATGGCCTCTCCAAGCCTCTGTAGAATGAGAATCAGAAGCTGTCAGGGGTCCCAGGTGGCAGGTATGGATGCCAGTCCTGGGCCACCAGTCACCATGTGCCGGCCTCACGCAGGAGTGACCTGCTGACCGTGGGCGACCACATCCGGTCGGTGAACGGCATCCGCCTGGCCCGGCTGCGCCACGACGAGATTGTCGCCCTGCTGAGGAACGTGGGGGAGCGCGTGGTGCTGGAGGTGGAGTATGAGCTGCCCCCGCCCGGTGGGTGCCTCGCCTCGGAGGCCGGGCCAGGGCCGTGCCAGGCGGGGGCGGGGAGGTGCGCACGCTGTCACCTGGAGGCTGCGAGGCCCAGCCTGGCTGTGGCTCTTCCCAGCACAGGGAGGTCTGGGGGCCCCGGCCGGGGGTCATCCTTGTCCTGCTTGGAAGCCGCAGCCTTGGGGTCTGAATTCTCAGTGTTACTCTCAGGCCTGGCCCAGTCTAGCCACAGATTCGAGCCCAAGGCTGCCTGGCGCTTGGGAGTGAATGGGGCCCTCCCCTCCCTTGGCAGGTGAAGCAGGCATAGGGCGAGGGTTCCTCGACGCCCCCCACATCCCACCGTTTCTGAGGCTGATCACCCAGCGCTCCTGGGATGGGCTTTGGGAACAGCTGCCAGCGTGGGCACTTGCGAGAGACTCACGGGTCTCCCTCTGCTCCGCAGCTCCAGAGAACAACCCCAGGATCGTCTCAAAGACAGTGGACGTCTCCCTCTACAAGGAGGGCAACAGCTTTGGCTTCGTCCTCCGAGGTCAGTGTGGGAACTGCTTGACTCAGGGGACAAGGACTGGCTAATGTGGACTCTGTGTATGTTGGGCTTTGCTTCCTACTCTAAAGAACCCTGAACTATTAAGTGAAGTGTTCAGGGCTTAGGGGAATGAGAAAGGTCCTGATACCGACCAGGAATGGGGAAACCACTGCTGAGACTGAAACCAAGTTTGGAGCTGCCTAGCAATCAGGGCAAAAAGGGAAATAAGACGAGATCTCAGGGAAGAAAGAGAGATTTGAGTGCTGGGTCTTGTTCCTTTTCCTATCTCTGGGTAAGTTACAGTTGGTGTCTCTGGATACGTCCATGAGTAGCAAGGACAAGGAGTCAGGCAGGTGTCCTTGAGGGAATTTCTTAGGGGCTGACTGGGCTGTGGGCAGAGGGGAAGGGGTATGAAGATGAGTGCTATCTCCTGTTGAATCCTGCCCAGGAGGCACCCATGAAGACCTGCACAAGTCCCGCCCACTCGTCCTGACGCACGTGCGGCCAGGGGGTCCAGCTGATAGGTGAGCCGAGCCTAAGGAGACCCACACTGCCCGGGGACCCCCAGCCCTGTGCAGTGGGTGAGTGAGGCCATGCTGCCGTCCCTGGCTGAGCCCATGGAGACCGGATGAGGCCCTGAGAGAGGGACCCTGGGCCGGGCCTGCCACAGCCCGGGGCCTGAGAACGCTGCCCTCCCTGGAGAGTCCTGGCACAGCCTCGTGGCCAGTCTAAATCTGTCCTGGGACACGGCCCAGTGAGCTATTCCAGGACAGCCTGGAACAGCCAGGGCCACCTGTCAGGGCCAGAGGGGACCTCAGCCAAGGAGCTGCTTGCCCTCCTGGGGCCCTCGGGGTCCTTCCCACGGGTGTCACCAGGGCAAGTTTGGGGAGGACCTCGAGGTTGGGAACATGAGGGTGCCATGTGGCCCTAGCGGGCCTGGCACCCTCTCTGGGCCCGTGCTCTCCTCAGCCCAGCCATGAAGGGCGCCCCCACCTTCTCCCTGCCCTTTCCGCAGGGAGGGCTCCCTGAAGGCAGGCGACCGGCTGCTCAGCGTGGACGGCATACCGCTGCACGGAGCTAGTCATGCCACCGCCCTGGCCACCCTGCAGCGGTGCGGCCATGAGGCGCTCTTCCGGGCGGAGTATGATGTGGCCGCCCCAGGTGCTGGCCCAGGCGAGCCGTGTGGTGGGGGGACAACCTGAGGACCCACGGAGCATGGTGCAGATGAAACCACTGTCTCACAGAGCTGGCAGCCAGTGGGGGGAGGAAGTCAGGCACTGAAGAGATGGCAGCAAGGTCTATTGGGTACCAGGTGGGCAGGGAGAGAGTCAAGCCTAGGTTTAGGGTGCAAGGTGCAGGGTGTGGGGATAGGAGCTCAGGGTGCTGCTGCCAGCCGGGTGTGTGGTGGGCTGTTTTCTGCATGACAGTGACTGTCACGCATGTTGTGGTGACCCCGCCCCCATCCCGGCTCTGCACAATAGGGAACTCACTCATCACCGAGGTGCAGAGCAGGGTGGGGAGGGATGTGCACCCCATTTCCCCCCAACACACCTGTCTCCATGAGCAGACTCCGTGGCTGGGGCGACCGGGCCACTGGTGGTGGAGATCGTGAAGACGCCGGGCTGTGCCCTGGGCATCTCACTCACTGCTGGCTGCCACCGGAACAAGCCGGTCATCACAATTGACCGCATCAAGCCAGCCAGCGTGGTGGACAGGTGAGGCCTGCTGGGTGCCGCCTCTGGGGTGTGCAGGGTGAGGGGCTGAGATGCGGCTGGACCAACTTCTATGTCCGCCTGGCCAGGAGCGGGGCCCTGCACCCGGGGGACCACATCCTGTCCATTGACGGCACCAGCACGGAACGCTGCTCCCTGCAAGATGCCACCAAGTTGTTGGCAGGAGTGGCAGAGAAGGTGCGGCTGGAGGTCCTGCCTGCACCCCAGAGCCGGTGGCCCCCACAGCCTGCAGATGCAGGTGGGTCCCAGGTTTGGGCACAGAGGCACAGAGGCCGTGCCACCTGCTCAAGCCCTGCAGCTGGGTGGTGTCACTGGGTTCCCTGACCTCTTGGGCCAGGCAGCTGGTGTGTAGGGGGTGCTGCTGGGAGTGCAGACCGTGTGGGGTGCAGGGTCTGGCATGGGGAGCCTGAGACAGTAGGACATGTGGGCCTCTGGGAGGCCTGGACCAGGTGTGAGGAAAATGGGAGGAAACGTGAGCCATGGCCCAGGGCGGCCATGCTGTGGCCAGGCAAAGGAGTAGCTGCAGCTGCGGCAATGCCCACGGCCGAGACCTCCAGCCTGGACCCCATGCCCCGTCCTGGAAGGAGAAAGAGGCTGTGGCAGGTGTGCCAGGCTGGAGGACCCTTTTCCTTGCCCTGCAGTCGCTTGCCACGCCCCTCTCTCCCACCCACAGTGAAGGTGCAGAGTTTCGAGCCCCCTGGCCGGGACCCCCACACGCCCTCCTGCCATAGCCCGAGGCCCAGCTGGGGCCCAGAGCAGAGCCGAGGTGCGGACGCCTGTTTCCGAGGGTTGAAGGGTCCAGAGACGGGGCTGCCCGCTGTCCTCTGCACGGGAGGGAGGGAGACGGGGCTGCCCGGTGTGGGTCTCCAGCTCCCTGGGCCATGCAGCAAGACCCGTGTGTCCTCCTCCAGTCCTGTCCTCCAGCCCCTTCTCCTCGCCACTTGTGGACCACGCCTCTCCCCGCACACACCCCAGCACCCTGCCCCGGGGACCGCCGCCTGGGAGCCCGCGCACCACTCCGGGGCACAGGCGGCCACGCAGGAGGGAGCACAGGAGCTCACGTGAGTAGGCCTGGACTCGGGGTGGGCATGGGCCCCAGAGAGGCCCCAGCAGCTCCCGGGTGTAGTGGGTTACTCTCCTCAGCACACATGGCCACCAAGGACCCTGGGGATGTCCACCCCATGACGGAGCCAGCAGCGGAGCCAGGAGTGGACTGATGGCTGCAGGTGCCGGTCTGGGAAGAGGAGGCCGGAGAACAGACAGCAGCTCTTCTCTCCCTTCCTTCCTCTCCGCCCTCCCCTGTCCGCTGCCGTCCCTTCTTCCTGCCTTTCTGTGCTGGAGATGGAACCCAGGGCCCCACACACGCCAACAAGGCCTGGGTCGCCTCTGTGATGATGAACTCATCCTAAAATGGGCCTGGGCCCTGTGTGGTCAGGGTCCCCCGACTACTCACAAGGAACCGCACACTTTATGGGTGGCTGTGACAGACATGACTTGGGTCTCAATACACCATCACCTCAAACAGTGCAGAACACCAGCATGTGTGGCAGCATGGTCATTCCTGGGTTCCTGCACCCGGGCCAGGGGAGCAGGGACAGCAGGTGGAGGGGCAGGTACAGAGGCCCATGCATGGTCCCAGAAATTAGTGGAGCCTCTCAGCACCCTTTCTGTCCCAGCAACCCGCCCCCTTCTACCCTCACCTGTCACCCCAGGGTAAGACTCATGCCAAGGCCCTGGCATGACTTAATCATGGCCCAGAGCATGGAGGTGAGGGGCTGCCAGGCAGGATGGGACGTGATAGGGCTGCTCCACCTGGTCCTGGGTACTGACGACCTGTCGGGGTGGCTAACTTACCTCATCACAGTGGGCCCCTGTGGGGGGAAACAGGAAGAAGTGACCAGGTATTTCCTGCTGCTGTGTCCCTGTGGGGACATGGGGGGCCAGTGGGGGCACTCCCTGGGGTCCCTGAGTGCTGTCCCCTTGTCCCACAGTGTCCCTGGCATCTAGCATGGTGGGGCCAGGTGGGCAGATTGTGCACGTGGAGACCACGGAGGTGGTGCTGTGCGGGGACCCCCTCGGCGGCTTCGGCCTCCAGCTCCAGGGCGGCATCTTTGCCACCGAGACCCTGTCGTCCCCACCCCTCGTGCGCTTCATTGAACCTGATAGCCCAGCAGAGAGGTAAGCCCCTCCCCCCAGGCCGCCAACCCTAACTAGAGGCTCTAGGACAGCAGGGAAACTGAGTCACAGGCACTTCCCTCCCCGACCCTGGGGCTGCCATCAGCCCCATTTACCTAGAAGGAGGCTGAGGCTCAGAGACGGTGACTCCCTGGCCCAGGGCCACACAGCCCTGGCGTGGGGTCCTCAGGACTTGAGTCTTCTCTGTCCTCCTTGGGGCACTGGGTCTGGCTGGTGACGTCACCCCAGGGGACCGGGAGACCGAGGCCAGCATCCATGACTGAGTGCCAGGGACATGGTGCTGTCACGGGCTCTGCCCCCACTGGGCCCAGGTGTGGCCTGCTGCAGGTAGGCGACCGAGTCCTGGCCATCAATGGTGTTGCCACCGAGGACGGGACCACGGAGGAGGCCAACCAGCTGCTTCGGGACGCCGCACTGGCCCACAGGGTTGTGCTGGAGGTGGAGTTCGATGTGGCGGGTGAGCAGGAGTCCCCACCGTTGCCCAAAGTCTCTGCTGCTGGCACCCACATCCTCTGGAGGAGAGGAGGTCACGGGGCAGGGCCCAGAGGCTGCACAACCTGAGTCCTGGCTCAGGGCAGCCATGTCCACGACTTGGCACAGGATGCCTCTCCCTGTGCCCCCGTCCTGCTCCATCAGGGTGGGCAGAGCAGGCACAGGTGGGGGCCCAAGCAGCGTCCCCACAGGTCGGGGTCCTCACGGTTTGGTCCAATCCATCTCTGCAGAGTCCGTCGTGCCGAGCAGCGGCACCTTCCACGTGAAGCTGCCCAAGAGGCGCGGTGTGGAGCTGGGCATCACCATCAGCTGTGAGTCCCTGTCACCCGCCTAGGGCCAGCTTGGCTGCCAGGGGCGACCACTCCACCAGTGCACGGTGTCCCCACTCCCCACTCTGCACAGGGGCCCCTCACGGGGCTGGAGGCACCCCAGGGTCTCACAAGCGACCTGCAGGGCCATGTGCCAGGCTGACCGGGCTTCCTGTCTGCTCTGTGCTCCGGAGCCCAAACAGCCCGGGGTACGGCACATGCCGAGTCACGTTTGTCTGGGAAGGAGCAGCAAGGTGGCAGAAAAGCCCGGCTGTGTGCTTGGTAAACCTGGTGTGGGCAGAAGCCGAAGTCCTGGCTTGCAAGCAAGGCCTTGCATCCCTGCTCCTGTGACCTCAGGACCTTTACACAGCTCTGCCCGTGGCTCTCTGCCATCCATCCCTGGGGAGTGGTTAAGGGGCAGCATGCTGGCCCTACACACATACACACATGCACACACGTGTACACACACACACACACACACACACACACACACACACGGCCGCCTCATCCATGCTTCCCACTACCTTGCAGGCAGCCCTTTCTGTCTTATTCTCACTGCCCTGTCATCTAAGAAGCCACCCCTGTCCTTCGGTCCCCTGGCTGGGTTCCCTGGGGCTGTGCCCCAGCCATGGGCGCAGGGAACAGCGGGGCTGCCCTCCCAGGATACAGTTGGCTGGGGGAAAGGTGAGCAGAAGGAGGAAGGCCTCGGCAGCGAGCACCTACTGTGGCTGGCTGGGTCACCTGCCTTCACCTTGCCGCGCCCCCATGAGGTTTGGCGTGTCACAGCCAGCTTATGGAACAAGTGGGGCCCGAGAGGCGGCTCCTTTGCTCAGGACGCAGGTGGGGAGGAGAGGGCAGGAAGGAGCCAGGTTGCTATGGCGCCGTCTGGACCCCACGGAAGCCACGGCCTCCTCGTCAGACCGCGCCCTCCCCGCAGCGGCCAGCAGGCGGCGCGGCGAGCCCCTCATCATCTCCGACATCAAGAAAGGCAGCGTGGCGCACAGGTAGGCGAGGGCACGGAGCGAGCAGGCGGTGGATGCTGTGTGCGCCAGGGGCAGCTCCTCCCCGTCCCTCCTGCAGGACGGGCACCCTGGAGCCGGGCGACAAGCTGCTGGCCATCGACAACGTGCGGCTGGACGACTGCCCCATGGAGGAGGCCGTGCGCATCCTGCGCCAGTGCGAGGACCTGGTGAGGCTGAAGGTCCGCAAGGACGAGGACAACTCCGGTACGCGCCCCGGCCCCAGCCGCCCCGAGCCCCGCAAGCCCTGCCGCCTGCTCACGCTGCCTTTGCAGACGAGCAGGAGGCCACGGGCGCCGTGAGCTACACCGTTGAGCTGAAGCGCTACGGGGGACCGCTGGGCATCACCATCTCCGGCACCGAGGAGCCCTTCGACCCCATCGTCATCTCCGGCCTCACTAAGCGCGGGCTGGCCGAGAGGTGAGCGGGCGGGCACGGCGGTGGGGACTTGGGCAGTGGGGACCAGGCGCAGGAGCGTCCCCTCTGTGCCAAGCCTGGTCTGTAACAGGCCATGTTCGTGGGTGGGGACGCACTGGGGGCTGCCCGTGGAAGTGGGGCGGCCCCAGCACCCACGATGCCTCTAGGGCTGTTCCTGCCAGGTGGTGCCCCTGGGAGGGGTCCATAGAGCGGAAGCACCCACGGGGGCCCTCTGCAGGCGGACAGGAGGAACCCAGCCCAGTTCCTGCAGACGGGGCGTCCCTGGGCCTGGCACGCCCCCTGCTGGTGGTGGGACGGTGGTGGGGCTGTGAGGCCCCCTGGCACCGGGCACAGTCACCAGGGTTCCCCACTGTGTAGCCCTGTGCAGCCTGCGGAATGGAGCCTGAGCTCCAAACCAAATGGTCGTGTTTCTAATAGCCTCTTCCAGAAGGGTAAAAAATCAATTCGAGTCAACACGTCCTCGATTCAGACAGCGGCAGGGCGCTTCCTGAGACTTTGCTCGCACAGCACTTCACAGTCAGGCTGTGTCCCACCCCACCCTCTTCTACCTGGCTGCCAGGTCGGGGCCGTGGCTGGTGGACACCCACTGTGCGCCCTCCTGACGCTGCTGTCCCTGCTGCACCTGGGCTGGGGAACGGGGGTGGGGGCAGGGCCCAGCAACGCATAGCCTCCCACCCCCAGCAAGATGCGGGGAGCCTGGTCCCCGCTCCTACGCAGGCTCCAAACCTTTCTTCAGATGCGCACTGCACTGTCCCCTCCCAGGTCCCAGACTGAGAGCTCTGTTAATGCAACCCAAGGTCATGTTGCCCGCTGTCTCTTTCAGTTGGGCATAACCCGATTCGGCCAGGATTCAGTCTGGGCCCCGGGGCTCCCTGAGGGGAGAAGCCCCCTCCCAGGTCTGGGTGTGGGTCCTGACCCTGTCCTGTGCCCCCTCAGAACCGGCGCCATCCATGTGGGGGACCGCATCCTGGCCATCAACAGTGTAAGCCTCAAGGGCCGCCCGCTGAGCGAGGCCATCCACCTGCTGCAGGCGGCTGGCGAGACTGTCACACTGAAGATCAAGAAGCAGCTGGAGTGTGAGCCCGGGGCCCAGCCCTGGGGCGGGGGGCCTCGGGGAGGGGAGGTCAGCTGGGCGTCTCTGCTGAGGGCAGGGACAGAGCCAGTGGCCCTGGGTCACAGGTTTCGGCAGGTCTGGTGTGGCCCCCCCCTTCTGCATATGCTGTCTCCTATGTGCCTGCGACCCTGCCCATCCTCAGGGTCCCTGACCCTGTCCCCAGCCTTGGTGGTGGGCAACGTCAAGCTGCAGGCTCCTGTACTGCTGCGGTGTGGCCTGCATGGCTTGCTGTGGACCTGGGCTTTAGTTTCCCTGACAGAGGCCCCTGGTCAGCAGTGGTTCTTCTCCCAGGCCCACTCGTATCCCGCAAGTCGGGCAGTGTCAGCGAGGCCAGTGACACCGAAGAGGACCCACCCGAGGCCCTGAAGTCCGGTGCGCTGGTCACCCGCTTTCCATCTGCAGTGTGCAGTGTGGACAGTGCCGTGGAGTCCTGGGACAGCTTGGCCACTGAGGGTGGCTTTGGGGGCCCAGGTAACTCTCAGGCCGCCTCTGTGGAGGGTTCCTGTCCTGCTCCTGGCCCCCCTGGGCTTACCCTGGCCTTGTCCTTCAGAGACAGTTCTCGAGGATCCTACCCCCATGGCCACTCCTAGGAACCCTAGGGTCCGAGCCTTTGGCCAGGAACGGCTGTGCGTGGCTGCATTGAAACCCCATTCCTGTCCCCACACCTGAGGCCCAGGTCACGCAGGTGCTCAAACCGTGTTCCCCACATCCAATCGGAGACAGGGGGACAGAAGGCACCCTCCCTGGTCCCCAAAAACTCAGCTTGGGGGGATGCGCCAACTCCTCCCCTGAGCCCTCTGTGCATGCTGGGACCCCGGGGGCATGGGTCCATGGAGATCACAGGGGAGGAAGGGGGCTCCAGCAGCCTGGCTCCCATGGGACAGCTGCCCTCTCTGGTCCCACTATCCCTGTCCCCCAGTGGGAGCCCAGGGCAGGGCCTCTGAGCTCCAAGGTCAGGTGGGCTTTGTCTCCACGAGCCACACTCTCTGGCACGCGGTCCACTTTCTGCTGCAGCCGAGAGCTCCAGGAAGGGCTTGGGATGGCAAGGGTCATGCAGGCCCGGAGGGGCACAAGGATCAGTGTTTGTCACTCTAGAAATAGAGCCCAGGGAAGCAAAAGCGACTGGGCATAGACACCCCTCTGCACCCCCAGGTGCCTACACCCCGCAGGCGGCTATCCGGGGGGCAGCCCCCCAGCAACGGCGGCACAGTAGGCCACGGCGCAGCCCCCCACCCGGGGATGCCGGGAGGACGAGCTACACCCCAGGCCCCGGCGAGCAGTCCTTCCCTGAGGATGAGGACGAAGACTGGGGGCCACCCGCGAGGTCGGTGGTGGGCGCAGGAGGGACACAGCAGCCGGGATGTGGGAGCTCAGTGACCCGGGGAGGGCACCTGTGGCCAGGGTGCAGTGCAGAGTCACAGGGCCACGGATCAGGGAGGGTGCAGTGGCAGAGAAGGGCACAGGCCGAGGCCTGGGGGCAGCGGTTGCTTGTCCGACACCAACCCTGTCACCACCAGGGAGCCGGGCATGGCTGTGCCAGGTGGCGGCAAGGACCCTCTACCCAGGGGGCCTGTCCTGCTGAGCCTCAGAGCATACCTGAGTCCCTCCTCCCTCCAGGCGGCACCTGCCACATGTCTCTCCCCGGGTCATGACCCGGCCATCACGTTTTCTCTGTGACACTGTGCTTGGCCCCAGGACCCTGGGAGGAGAGCCCAGCTCCCTGAGTGGGGCACACTTCGACCCTATCGTCCCTGGGCTAGGGGCATTGGTGGCTTCTGCATGGGGGGGCTTCCGGACCATGCCATGTGGCGTGTCTGCCTGTGACCTGCAGTGCCACCGCAAACCCTCCACCTCTGCATCATCTGTCTTGTCCTGTCCCTGTCCAGCAGTGCCACGTGTCTGGGTGGGCAGGATGTCCTCCAGGCTGTCCGATGGATCTCCTGTCTGTCTGTCATCTCTCCTCAGGCGTCCTGTGTCACTGCTGTCCACCCCGTCTCGTCTGCCCCTGTTCTAACGGGCCACCGACAGTCTTGGTTGCCCCTCACTGCGTCTTCCCCTCATTCTGTGTCACCAACCACTCTCCTGGGGCCCCAGCACTGCCACCGAGGACACCCACCTGCCCACCCCATGGCCCCGAGCCCAGCACTGGCCTGGCTTGAAGACTTCTCGGAGCTGATGCTCTGGTTCCTACGTTGCAGCCCCATCCCTGTCCCCGGCCCCGGCCGAGAGAGGGGCTTCTGGCCAGCGCTGGGAGAGGCCCTGGAGGACCTGGAGTCCTGCGGTCAGTCGGAGCTGCTCAGGGAACTGGAGGTATGGCCGCCACTGTGGGCCTGGGGCGAGCAGGTGTGAGCAGTGTGCAGACATCGGGTGTGCTGGGAGTGCTTGTGAATGTGTGCCAGTCCCGTGTGCCCAGGCATGCACGTGGGGAGCACGTTCCTCAGGAGCCTTGTGTGTGTGTGTTCACTGCCTGGGCAGGGGTGGCGTCTGCGTGTGATACGTGGTCAGGACCGTGGCTCTGTAGACACGGCTGTCCTGGGCAGTCCCTGCCAAGTGGGGCGGGCGCAGGGGGCCCAGCTCCTGCGTTCTGCACACTCTCGGGTGCCCAGCCCACTCCATCTCCCCTTGCCGGGTTCACTCCCAGAGTCGCTGCTCAGCGGGTGGTGTCCTGCGGTGTCCGTGTACTGTCTCCCTCGTTTTCTTGCTTTCTGTCTCACTCATTTTCGTGTCTGGCTTTGCCATTTTTTTCCTTTTTATGTCTAAGTACTGACATATTCCTTGTTCTTAGCTAAGAATTTGCCTGCAAGCCCTGCCTTGGCTGGGATCCCCCAAGTTGTACTGGTGATATTCTCGATTTTTGGTCCTGGGAATTGAATCCAGGGCCTCATCCACGCCAGGCGAGTCTTGTAGCACCGGGTCACACCCCCAGGCCTTGTTTTGTTTTGTTTTTTAATTTTGAATTTTAATACAGGGTCTAAATTGCCCACGCTGGCCTTGAACTTGCAATTCTCCTGCCTCAGCCTCCCAAAGTGCTGGGCTTACAGGCATGAGCCACGGAACCCAGCTAAGACAGTTTGGTTGTCCACTCAATTTAAAAATCTTTTAAAGTTTTGCAGTGTCTTTTTTACATAAGCCTTTTAATTCTATAGAAGTGGGGCTTTTGACTTTGGATTATTGGTTATTTTTTTAAATCCAATTTTAAAAACCAATTTATATTGGTTTTTAATCTTTATATATATATTGGTGGCCAGAGGACGTGTTCAAAAGTAGTTTTAATTCTCTGGAATTTGTTACTATTTAATCCTTCACGGCATAGCATGTGATCAGCTTTGCAGATGTTTTGTGTGTGTTTGCAAAAGGTAGCAAACTCCTTTTGGTTGGTGTAGGGCTTTAGATATTTCAAGACTGTTCATAAACTTACTCAAATCTACATATTTACTTTAGACTTTATCATTTTTGTTAGCAGTATAATAAAATGCCCACCATTACATTCTGTCAATTATTTTTTATTTTTTTGTCTTTTTGAGACAGGGTTTGGTTATGCAGCTCAGGCTGGCCTTGACCTCTCTTTGTAGCCCAGTCTGGCCTTGAACTCACAGCAGTCCTCCTGCCTTAGCCTGCTGAGTGCCGGGATCTACAGGCGTGCGCCACCACGCCTGGCCATTCTGTCAACTTTTATTTTCCATCCTTTGATGTTACATTGTTGGTTGACATAAATTTATGATTACTATGACTTCTTAATGAATTTTTCTCTATAACGTTAATTATCACTCTCTTACATGTCTCTATGTACTTTCTACCTTAAATTCCATTTTTGTCTCATTGTTCCCTCTGCTGTTAGTAATATTTGCCTTTTTCTAATTTATTTATTTTTGGGCTTCCTGTACTTCGTTTTTAGTGTGTCTGAGGTATATACTTCTTGTACTATTGATATAATTAAACTTAATTTTAGCACATAGTTTATATTTTCCATGCTTTCCCTATATTTCTGGTCACTTCACTTGCCTTCTTTTGTGTAGATAAGTTTTTAAATTTTTATATTCTCTACCACCTCTTTGGAGAATTTTAATTTCAATTTTACAGTTTTAGTGAATATCCTAAATTCATTGGCTTTACTTTGAATAGCCAAGCTTTACATTTAAAGCTTTTTATTATCATAGAAGGGAGGTATGGACTGGGTGCAAAATTAGATGAATAAGATTTTGTGTGTGTGTGTGTGTGTTTTGAGACAGGGTCTTGCTATGCAGTCCAGGTTGGCCTTGAGCTCACTTTGTAGCCCAGGCTGGTTTCAAACTTGCAATGATCCTCCTGCCTCAGCCTCCTGAGTGCTGGGATTACAGGGGTGCACCACCACTCCCGGTTTAGATGAGCAAGATTAAGATAAGCAAAATACCAACTTGCAACCTTCCCACCCCAGAGGCCCTGCTCTCGAATCAGCTGCATTTGAGGGCCACGAGAGCAGGGCAAGGTCACTCTGCTTCTTCAGGCAGGGACTTTGTCCCTCCCCGTCCACACCTCTCATCTCCACCCAGGCTGCGCTCCTGGCCCCCAGGGCCTGCTCTGTTCTCAGCCGGCTTTGTCCAAGTGACACCTCTTAAGTGTCTCTTAATTTTAGACCATGGTGTTTCGAATGACACTGACTTAAAATGTTTTAAATTGAGATAAATTCTCATAATGCAGCATTTACCATTTAGTTGTTTTGAAGTGAACCTGCCCTGGCACCCGCTGCACTTCCTGCCCATTCTGTGATCACAGAGGACCTGGCCTGCCTGGCTCCCTGAGCTAATGTACAGCATGGATGTAGGCCCTGTCCTGTTGTTTGTGGGTGGTTCTGTGCCCTGACCTTCACACCCGACACCTGTCCTTGACTTCTTTCTCACAAAGTCTCAGCGTGACTTTTGTCCCCCTCCACCCTGCTCCTCCCGTCTCTGGCCCAGGTGTGTTGAGTCTGGCTGGTGTCTGGGCAGCCCCGGTCCCTGTGGCATCCTATATCCCTGTATCCCCTGCGGGTGCTCACTGGGGCAGGTTGGGACAGTCTGCAGGGTCCTATCCTGACCACATCCATGTGACCCGAGCCTTCGGATAGCTCGGCTGGGCGCAGGTCAGGGTCTCTGGCTGTGGAGACCAACAGCCGTCCCAGGGCACAGTTGTGATGCCCTTAAAGGGGACGTGGGGGGTGTCACCCCTGGGAGGGTTGCTGACCACCTGTGGCCTGAGCCTAGGCCCTGTGGCTACAGGCCTCCATCATGGTAGGCGCCCTGCCCAGTGCGGTCCTGGAGGGCAGACCTGGGTCCCGGGCTTGGAGGGGCACACGGGAGCCTCGTGCGTCTGCAGAAGAACTGCGTGAGCTGCTGCTCCCCACCGCGCTGGAGATGCACAAGGTGAGCACAGGGAACAAGGAGGGCCTGACAACCCTGCCGCAGGCCTGCCCCTGCCCCGCCACCCCGCGTGCAGGCCCCCTACTGGCTGTGTTCTCCACTAAGTAGCAGGGATTTTGTCCTAGGTTGAGTTTTCCACAGCCCTCACCATCTTGCTGACACCCACACACGTGCATGCACACCAACACGCCCACACACACCCAGTTAATACTTTTCTCTAAGTAGATTTGCTTATATCTTCTCTTGAGTATATGTATATATGTGCATAGCCAGCCATGTAGAGATATGTATATGCACACATGTACGCAGAGGTTAGTTCCTACTGGGGCGTGTGTGTGTGTGTGTGTGTGTGTGTGTGTGTGTGTGTGTGTGTGTATGGCTGCCCCACCCTACTACAAGTCCTGCCTCTGCTGACCCAACCCATTCACACACACAGTGAATGCCCTGAAACGGCCTTGTTCTGAGCACTGGAGACGTTCAGGTCCTTATTCCCTGCAAGTGCTGCACAGCACTTCTGACAGCATGTGCACATGGGCTGTGGGTTTCCCAGACAGGACCAAAGTGCAGGGAAGACAAATGCCGGCATGCATATGGACTCGAGCAGGGCAGGTGGCATCCCAGGGCCCTGGCACCTGGCCCCTGCATCGCCTGCACCTACCTCATGCCTTCCCTCCACTCCTGGTGAGGAGCCTGGTGGCTCGCTCTGCAGGAAGACAGTGGGAGACCCTCACCCGGAGCTCTCCGCAGTCTGCTCTCTGGGGGCATTGGAAGGGATGCGGGAGCCACCTGCCTTCGTGTGCTACTGACAGCAGAGCTCAGTCCGGAGGAAGGGAGCCATGCAGGATGCTCTGGGGTCTTGGTCCAGGGACCTCAGTTCTCTGGGAGGCTGGGGTCGAGGTTGGAGCCGCAGGGATCCCCTCTGCTCCCAGGTGATGCTACACAGAGACCCCACACGGCGCGATTTTGGCTTCAGCGTGTCCGACGGCCTCCTGGAAAAGGGTGTCTATGTGCACACCATACGCCCCGGTGGGCCGGCCCAGCATGGGGGCCTGCAGCCCTTTGACCGGGTCCTGCAGGTAAGAAGGAGAATGCAGGGGCACTGTGGGCACAGCTATGATCTTAGTGCTCAGGAGGCTGAGGCGGGGAGACCTCGTGCTTGGCCGCAGCCTGAGCAACTTAGCGAGATCCTGACTCAGAAAATAAAAAGGGCTGGAGAGGTGGCTCAGTGTGAAGCCAGGGGCTCAGCCTCCAGGAAGAACAGCAGGTGCTGGAAGGGGTGGGAGATGAGGCCTGGCTCTGAGCCGGCACGGAGGCCTCATCTGTGTAACCCAACCTGAGCCGGGCAGAACGCCTGAGTCCCACCTGTCTCCACAGGTCAATCACGTCCGCACGCGGGACTTCGACTGCTGCCTGGCAGTGCCGCTCCTGGCTGAGGCGGGTGATGTCTTGGAACTGGTGATCAGCAGAAACCCGCTAGCCCCAGGCAGCCAGGCCCCGAAGACACCTGGCCCCCAAAGTCCCCGGATGCTCTAAAGCCAGGGAGATCCTGACATTGGGGACCTCCGTGGGGCTGGCTGGGGATGTGGGAACCCCGCTGCTCATCTGTCAAGCTGGCAGACTCGATCTGTGTTCTCTGGTCCCACGGTAGATGAGGTACTTGGGGTGAGGTCCCTGCCACAGCTGGAGTGACATCTGCAGCCCTCCCACAGGCTGAGACAGGGCTCAACAGGAAGAGAGGGCCCTGGAGAGGCCGTGTAGTGAGCAGCCAGGAGCTTCCAGGAGTGAGCTCCCAGTCGCAGGGGCGGAGTAAGCCAGCGCTGGACGTGAGCGGTGAGCGGCCAGCTGAGGTGTGGCCCACGTGGGCTCAGGGTCAGCTTCCTGATGGAGCCACTGCATCAGACACCCTGCATCCAAGGCGGAGCTGTGCTTCCTGTTCTGGGCCTCAGGAGGGACTGGGAGTCTGTGGGTGGCTCTGTCTCAGAATCTGGGACTCGAGAGGGGTTCTAGTCCCAGGGTGGCTGGGCACCAGGCTGTGGGTGCCCCCTCCTGTCTGTGCCACCCTTTGCATGGGCAGGATCCGCTGGGGACAAAAGACGGAGGTTCTGGTGAGTCACCTGCCACCTGGAGGAGGACTGGGAAACAGCGAACACCCAGTGCTAACTGGTGAAGGCGCAGCTTCTCCAGGCCCAGAGCAGAGTGAGCAGCGAAGGGCCGGCCAAAGGAGCCCTTTTCATTTTGCGACAGGCATGGAGCAGGGCTGCTGTGGGACATCTCAGCCCTGCCTGGTGCTGTCCGGGTCTCAGGAGGGCAGGGGGCCCACCCCACCTTCACCGCCCAACCCGGGAACCCAGAACTCATTTCCTCTGTGGGGACAGGTGGGGTCACGGGTTCGGTCCTTGGCTGGGTGACCCCCAGTCCCATTCCTCACTGGACAATTGAGGCAGAAGGCTCTGAACAGTTATCTGCTTTCAGTCACAACCAGGACCCTGCTTCGCGCCCCCAATTCCTAGCCTGCTCCCCAAGTGTCCCGAAGGTCCTTCACACCTGTGGCCCGTTTGCCCAGGGCTCTGCTGAACACTGTTCCCAGGGGACTGGGCACTGCAGGGCGCACTGAGCAAAAGCCAGAAGGGCCCTCGAGGTCTGGGATGTCACAGCTTGGGCAGGCGGCTCAGCCTCTCCAGAGGGACAGGGCTGAGGCGCACACGCGCTCTCAGGGCTGGTGGCAGCGTGGGGACACTGCTGGATGCTGCCTTAGGCTCAGGGTGAGGGAGGCTGTGTCCTTCATGCACTGCCCCGTGGTCCTGAAGACTCATGCAACCGGCCCTCAGTGGGCAGGGCTTCCCCTGAGGCCAGCGGCCCGTCCTCCTCATATGCAATACCCCGCTCTTCCTGGGCCGTCCTGGCCACGTCCGCCCTCCCCAGCACCCTGCCTGCTATGCACTTGGGCACCGCCGTGGCCCAGCCCAGCCCAGCCCAAAGCTGTATTTTTCTGTGTCTGAGATTAGAGCAGAACCCTCGTAAAGTATTTTTGTACTTGGTTTCTTAGGGCTCTGGAAAGCAGAGCGCAGCCTGGCCCAGGCCACCTGGGGTCCCCTGGGGGTGGGTGTGCGTGTGCTAACCTCGGGGCAGTGCTGTTGGGGTGACTTTTTAAAATAAAATTATTTCAGTGCACCTGGATCGGAGGCTGCTTTCTCAAACACCACTGGGGGGAGAGGGCTGGTTTCTGTTTGGGTCCTGCAGGATCTCACCTGCTTTTAACTCGTTCGCTCATTCAAGGCCGCTACACACCACGCCTCAGGCAGCCTTCGCGCCAGCAGAAGACAGCGAGCAGGCGGCTCGGCACAAGGACTTCCTGCAGGAGTAAAGCACAGTGAAAAGAGCAAAACAGGGCACTGGCATGGTGTGCGTGCCTGTGATCTCCATGATACAGGGCGTAGGATATAGGGGTGATCTGTGGACCTCTAAATAACATCAGGGAGATATAACCCCCAACGTGCTAGGTGGCCAAAATGCAAAGTTCGTGTTCTCTAAAATACATTCTACAAGCAATGGAGGTTAAGAGTAGGAAGAATTTATTGAAGAAAGATAACTTCCGTCTCAGACAGAGGGGGTCCTCAGCGGGTGGCCCCAGGGGAAACCCGCTTCTCCAGGGTGTTTTATAGAGCAAAGCCATGAGGTGAGGTGGGTTCAAGGTGGGACAAAACTATAGTCAACTAGTAAGATTACAAGTATAGTCGCTTAGGTAACACTGATCCAATGGGAAGTCACAAGGGGGATGTGAGTTGGGACAAAACTGTGGTGAGCCAGTAAGATCACAGCTATAGTCCCTTAGGTAATATTGATTAAATGGGGATCAAAAGGGGAAGCAAGTCATGTAGGTAGCATACAAGCAAGGAATTCGGGCTTCCCTGGAACGGGTGGATGAAGGAGGTTTTGGTCCCTCACCCAAGGTGATTGATGCCTATTTAGAATATCAATCACTGCTGTTTATCCCTAGGGGAAGTATGTGGGTGTAGTCCTCCCTCTTGAAGCCTGACTTTCAGTGAATGTGCCTTTGGCCACAATTGTCTTCAATCCTGAGGGCCCAGCCCTGTCTAACTGCCAGTAATACTTACAATTTAGCTGTCTACAATACTAGCACTCAGAAGGCCGAGGCAGGAGAATCTCAGGTTTAAGGCCAGCCAGGGCAACTTAGCAAGAGCTTGTTTCAGAGTAAAATGAAAAGGACTGGGGTATAGTCTAGTGGTATAGCATTTGTCTAGGATGTGCAAAGCCCTGAGTACAAGCCCCAGTATTGGAAAAAAAAAAAGCCAGTACCGAACAGAGGGCCTGGGGTGAAGGGGACAAGGTGACATCAGCAATGAGAACTGAGGAAAGGAGCTGCACAGAGCCCGAGTAGGTGTCCCACAGAGGGCACAGCAAGCGCAAAGGCCCTGAGGTAGGTGTGAGTGTGGCAGGTTCCAGGAGGGGCGGGGCGCTCCAAGCACGGGAAGGGAGGGGCACAGTGGGGCTGCTCCCATCTCCAGTGTAGAACTGGGTTCTGGGGGAACTGGGGCTCCAAGGTGGGAGTGAGCAGCCTGTCTCGGGAAGGATGCAGTCAGTAGGCACTGAGAGGCCATTCTGTGTGCCTGGCAGGGCACAGAATGGGCCCCCACAGGCTGCGGATCAGGATCTGTCACTCTGCCAGCGCCAACCAAGAGCAGGCAGGGTGCAGTAACCGGTCTGTGTCACACAGGCTCCAGGGACGGAGCCAGGACGTGCCCAGCCACAGTCAAGACACATGGGTGGGCACAGTGGTGCTGGCAGACAGCGGGAGGGGGAGGGTTCCCTGACACGGCCACCCACAGTGAGCTCCTGGGAAGGGGACATGGCCTGGCAGCCCTGGCTCTGCTCACACAAGAGGCCACCCCGAGCCCCAGGGGGGTGACCATGCGGGGCAGGTGCACTCCTGTCACCTCCCAGCGCCACTCTAATCCCCAGGCCGCCTTAGAGAGACAACGGTGATGGGTCACTTCAGGTGGGGAAACGGAGGCTTGGGGGACCGGTGCCAGGGCTCCCAGCAGCCCAGGGCTGGGCACACAGGCAGAGCCAGAGGCGCAGACGCGGAGCCCACGGGCCCCTGAGCTCCCTTCCGCCTTGAGCTCACTGACACCTGAAGTCTGCGTCGCCCCAACCCGCCGCCTGGCGTGGCAGGTCACCATCAGGACAGGTGCACTGAAAAGCCGTCTGTGTATGGTGGCATTCCATCTGCAGAGGTCGACGGTGCATTCAGACTCGGGTCCAGTTTGCAGGATGTCCCACAAGGTTCAGGTAAGGGACGCTCAGCATGCAATTTCTCTTGCCGAGGACCCTCAGGTTGGGCAGAAGGCCTGCCTGCCTGTCTATATCTGTGTGTCTACTTCTGTGTGTCCACCTGTCTGATTTCTTTGAGACAGGATCTCATGTAAGGCTGGCTTCAAACACAGTGATCCTCCTGCCCCAGCCTCTTGAGTACTGGAATTACGGGTGCGCACCACCACACGCCCGGCTCAGACGGCTCTTCACAAACCACGAAGCACTTGTCAAACAGAAGAGACACCCACCCCCCACCAAAACACACCCCACGCGTATGGAACTTTAAAAAGGAAATGTTTATTGTCATGTTATAAGGTGATTACAAACTCCTCTAAAAAAAAGCAAAGATGAATTTAAAATATCGATATACATATTTATCTAAAAAGCAAAAGGGGAAAACCCCCGCACACCACAGGGATTCGGATCATAAAACATTTACACACAGAAGCCTGTATACCGCGGGACTGAATTACACACCCAGATCTTGTCCCAATGCAAAGTCTTTGTTGGTTGATTTTCTTTTTTTTACAAAAGTTTAAAATATCTTAAAAATATTCTGATGCTTTACAAAACTCCCGATGAGCCAGACATGTTTCTGGAAGGAGGCGAAACCCACGCTCTCCATTTCTCTTGTGCTAAATACAGCGTCACAGTTGTCAGGGACTGCAAAGATTCACTGGATAGAAAAAACAGAGCCCTGTCTTACTTTGAAGCCAAAATATAGCAGGTGCCCCACTCCCAAGTGCGTGCCAGCGTGGTGACGCCACTGAGGACGGGGCACAGCACCCAGGGCCCTTGCTGTGGGCATCCTCCTCGCTGCATGGAGGTATTTAGGGCACCAGGTGGACATGGGAATGAGGGCCAGGGGGCCCAGGCCTCTCTTGGGTCCGCACCTGGCCCATGACTGGGTCCTGGGGAGAAGAATGGGGGCGCTCTGCCCTTGGGCTGGCTGCCCCTGAGCACCTCACTGAGAGGGCAGTGCTGGGGCCATGGGCACCATGGTGACACTGGGCCAGCAGGAAGCTCACCTGCGCACCTTTTGCCAGCTGGCCCAGGCCTCAGTTTCCTCCTGTGTCAACAGGGCTCGCAGAGGGCTAGGAGAAAGGAGGAACGGCACCTCTGGTGGTTTGGGAGAACTAGGGCACCATTCTGTGGAGGAGCCACAGCCGGCTGGGTTCAGTGCCGGCTTGTCCCCTCCACCCTGGGCCTCAGCGTCCCTGCTTACTTCCGGAGTGCTCGGGGCTACCCTGGGCTGCTCCCCGGCTGAGGCTCAGCCCAACCCGTGCTTCTCCCTACCCGGACCTGGCAGAGCAGTGGCAACCCTCCTTGTTCTTGTGCCGCAGCTCTCGCCGGCAGTGGCACTGCCATGGGGACAGAGACAGGTGACACTGCACATGGACTGGCAGGGCGGGCACGAGGCCAGAGGAAGACAGGTGTCTGGCGGGGCCTGGGCATTTGGCCTGCACACGTCTTTGGTCTAGGATTTGGTCTGAGAACCATGCAGAAAGGTCTTCCTCCAGCCGTCTGTCTCCGACCCACACACGAGAACTCCTTGTGGGGCTGGAGCCAGAGGGAAGCTCGATGACCACAGCAGCCCGGGCCGCCCGCCGTCACCTGCCTTCTCTCGCTGGCGGTGGTTAATAAATTCCGCAAGACAAGAAGACGGGTCACAATGCCACGCGGTAAAACCAGGGGGAAACAAAGAGTCCAATCAAATCACATACACGGTGATCACCAACACAGGAAATGGGGACACAGGATGTCCAACAGCTGTGAAGGGTTGGGTAGTGTTTGGCAGAGTTTACAGCTTTGGAAACAGAAATACAAACACGTCACAGACAAGAGGTCCAGCGCTGCCCCTAGGGAGGGGCGCTGAAGATGTCCCAACTCCCAAATCTGGCGGGGGGGCGGGGGGCGCGGGTCCAGGATTCTGAGAGCCCTGCTCTGCATGCTGAAGCCTGCTCGCTTCCCACTCCACGGACTGCCGCTGCCTTTGTACTGGTCCTACTTCTGCTTTGAGCTTTCCAGGTTGGGGTGTCTGCGCTGGGTGGCGTCCATGTGCCACGCTTCTCCTGCTTCCGGGGTGCCAGCCCCTTGCTGCCCCGCTCTGCACACCTCCCACCTCCTCCCCTGACCCTCACGAAGGGAGTGTCTGACAGCTGCGATTACGGAGCTGGCTTAGGGACCAGGACGCTGGGGCGGCCAGGTCATGGCTAAAGGTGAAGAATCTAGGATGCACTGTCCCTGACCAAGGTCCCGCCTTGAAGGCTGCTCCTGGCAAACTTGCTGGGAGCTGGGCGATATCAGGAGTCTCCCGGGCCTTGGGAACAAGGACTGGAAGGTGACACAGGCAGAGGGCACCTGAGCAGTCGGGCCATACTGCACTGGGGGATGGTCTGGGACTGGCAAGGGCCCACCTGGCGGACCCCAGCTGTTCTTGGACTGGTTCTCGGCCTAGGGATCTGCTTAGGATAGCCAGGGAGCCTGGTGGCTCCCTGGCCTGAGCCCTGTCTCCTGCCACCCACCCAGGTCCCTGACTGCTGCCTGTGCCCACCTGGCTGAGGGTCCCACTGACCTTTCATCTTCAGTCTCAACATAAAAGGTGGAGTTTGGCCCTGCACCCTGCAGTCTACCATGCTTGGCTCTGCTGAGGACCGCTCTCTGGGCTCTGGTCAGGAGTTGGGTGGCCGTCTTGGCCACGGTGCCCTCACAGCCCGCTCCACCCACCTGAGCTGGCTTGGGCCGCACCTGTATGGAGTCTGTCTTAGGAAAACCCTGCCCCGCAGGCTCAGGGTGGAGCTCTCTGCCAGCTCTGCAAGCACCGAAGAATTGCTTTTGAAAACGAGATCTTGCTGGCAAGAAGATCCACTCACGTGGTAGAGTGTATGACAACCTCTAAGTATATATAGTTTTATGAAAAAGATACAAAGAAAAATTTACCAAGTTCCCATAAAATACATCTAATCCCGTATGAAAGCTCGGCTTCTCCCTGGGGACTTCTGCCCGTGAGTTTTCTTTTTGTACAAAATATCCCCAAATCAAAACAAAACACACGCACGCACAATACACACACGCACACACACGTGGAGTAACGTTTTCTGTGACAATTTAAAAAAAAATCCTAGTGCAAATATAAAGCTCTGTAAACCTGGTCCTATGAGATCTAATGTTAGTAAACAGCAGGGCGGCGGCGGCGGCGGCGGCGGGGGTCACATCATGGTCTCCACCACGATGTGCGTGGGCTGCATGAGTGCCCCATTGGCGGCCGGGTGCGCAGCGAACGGTGTGGCCCCCTCACGCTCCACGGCCCAGCGGTTGGGCTCCCTCGGGGTCAGCAGGTACTTGAGCCGCTGCAGGGAAGAGAGGCGGGCCGGTGAGGTGGGAGGAGGGGACCACGCTGTCCCCACCCCAACCTCACGGTGCACTGCCTGGCACCTGGAATTGCCACCTCCCTGGACCTCCTTTTTGTCCTTTTTGCAAGGAGACAAGAACCAAAGTGATCCTGCGATCCCGAGAGGCCCGGACTTGGGACAGCTGTTCCAGCCCTCTGCCTTTCCAGCCATTCACAGCCCAATTCCTGTGGCTTGTGAGTCTCCTGTCTCCAGCCTTCCCCAGGGAGAAGCCCAAACACCTGCACTGCCTGCTCGCTGTGGGCGACGACCGGGCTGGTGCACACGCGCGCCTCTCGCGCTACCCATTGGGGAGCTACTTGTTATTGCCTGGGGCACATGAGGGCCTGGGTGTCACCACAGCCCTGCCAAAGGGGAAAAACAGTGGAGTGTGGCAGTGTTTGCTTTAGAAACCTGATTCTCAATCCTCTGGACACACACAGGCTGGGCAGTCCAGGCTGACGGTTAGCTGTGGCTGGAATCTGCCAGCAAGCTGATTTGGGGACTCAGCCACCTGAACTGAGGGTGCCAGGTGCCCGGGAAGTGGCCAAGGCACTCTGGACACTGGCTAGTAGAGACCCCGCTTCCTCTTGTACCAAGGTGCACCCACAAACCTCTTGAAAGGGCAGCATTTCACAGATAGGCTTTGAGAGTACAAGCAGGTGGGGTGGCCATTCAGACCTCTAAATATCTCACCCCACAGGAACCCCTCAGTGTCTGCGCAGGAAAGGGTACAGGGCAGGCCCGGCCCCTTAATGCTGTGGCACCTCATGGGGCCACTGGGGTCTGGCCCTGCGGCCTTCAAAACCACAATAGGCCCAGGCCTGAGGGACAGGCCCAGCTCCAAGTGCCCCTACTGCTGCTTCTCCTCTGTCCCTGTCCCCACCGTGGCTTCCCAGGCCATCAGCAAACCGACCATCCATGTCCACCATCCACGGGGAGCAGGGTCTCAGCACATCCTGGCTCCAGATTTTTAAGAGAGACACCTGCAAACAGCCCAGACCCACTGGGCCGGGTGTTGGAAGCCGGAGCCAGGAGGGTAGCGTGGACCCAAGCCCTGAGCAGGGACACCAAGGAGGAGCTTCTGGGAAGGGCCCTGGGCTCCCTTGCTGGAGGGGTCTGAGAGGAAGAGGTGGGGGTGGGCTGGGACCTGGGGACCGACTGGGACCTTGCTGCCCAGTGGGGCGGGGGCATGCACAGGTGGCTTCAGTTGGCCAGGTTACTGTGGGTACCCCACTTGGTTGGAACAGGCCTGGTGCCCTCCTCAGGCAAAGCCCAGCTCCTAGCTTGGCACTTGAAGCCACCATCATTTTGGCATCCTTCTCCCTCTCCTGGGCAGGGCCCAGAGGCCACAGGCCTGTGCAGAAGGTGCCACCCTGCTTCCTCCTCTGACCACCGCGGAGGAGCTGTCAGTGTGGATGGCCACACAAGTGAGATGGCCACCTGCCCCCCTCCCAGCTTACCACACGCAGTGGCCCCTTGGTGCGGCAGAGGCGGATGAGCACGGCCAGAGGGACACACACCACGGAAGACAGGGCCAGGCCCCAGCCCAGCCCAATGGCCCAGGTCGGGTACTCGTAGACCTTGTTGTAGGTCAGGGGCACGTACTTCACGAGCGAGAAGATGAAACAGCCCTGCGTGTGAAGAGATGGAGTCAGGGGTGGTCCAGCTGGGAGCAGTGTGCAAGCCCAGTCTCTCCGCCCGGTCTACAGTCAACAAGTCAACACCCATTTGCATTCAGCACTGGGTTCCTCAGCCTCACATCCCCAGGGCCTGAGTGCAGGCGCCTTCTCTCCTCCCTGCCCTCTCTCCAGGCACCTGCCTGCTCCTTGCAGAAGTATATGGCTCTGATTCCCCTCCTCCGTGCTCCTCCCCTGCCTGGCGCCCTGCCCACTTGCTAACCCTGCTTCCCTAATGCCAGGCACAACTGGGCTCATGCTCACAGGTGCGTGATCAATGAAGGGTGTGGACAAAAACCTCCCTCCCAACCCCCACTGCGACTCCCAGGACAGGCTCGGCTTCCAGCCTCTGCTCCGGAGGAGACATCTCTGGGCAGAGCCCGGCTGCTACAGCTGCCCCATGCCGCGAAGAGTGAGGAGGATGGACCCTTCCCAGCTGATGGGGAACAATCTACTTAAAACTGACTCGAAGTTGCGCGCTGCTTTTGCTGTCTTCTGCCCGTCATGGACTGTTTCTCCTCTGCGATGCCCTCTGCCATGCCACCCTGCCTTGGAGCCAGCCAGCTATGAACTGAAACCTCTACAAACTGTGAGCCAAACAAACCTTTCCTCCTTAAAAACAGAACAAAACAAAACAAAAAAAAGAAAACCTGACTTAACTTGGGGAGGAGACAGCATGGCCACTGACAGTAGCACCCCCACCTGGCCCTGGTCCTTTGACTCTATCATGGGCTGCACAGGGACCAGGCCACCTGCTTGCATTTCCTCTCTCCAAGGTCAGAGACACCCATGACTGAGACTTTGGGGTCGGGGGACAAGACTGGGCTGGAGCCTGTGGACTGCACTTAACTTGCCATGGGGTGGCGGCTGTGGGATTACCTGCGTGGGGGGTAATATGTGCGTGGCAGGGACAAGGACCACCCTCACAGGGTATGACACTGGCCTCCTTGTTTTACAGGCAGGGAGACTGAAGTGAGGTTTGGGCTGGCCTGAGGTCGCACAGTGCTACTCAGTTGTCCGGGATCAGAGCCCTACGGGGATGGCCATTTGTCCCCTGGCGTCTGGTTCCACATGCAAGGGATACCTGAGCCCTGCATGCCCCCCAGGGGGCGAGCTGAGCAGCAGCGCAGCACTCACTGTGGAGGAATCCCTACAACCTTGATGCATGTGGGTCACCTCCGAGATGGCGTGCACGGGAAGGGCCGTGCCTGGGGCTGCTGTGGCTTCCTTGTCTTCTTGGGGGATGTCCCCTCTCCTGGCCACTACCTCTACCCCACATCTCTGCCTGATATCCCAAAGGCCCTGTGCCAAAGCACTCCTGGCACCTGAGTGCCACAGGGGCTACAGAGGCTGTGTCTTGGGCAGGGACCAGACTTCCGCAGCCCGCACAGTATCACAGTGCCCTGCTTTGCACACGCTGTGCCTCTGCTAGGAATGCTCTCACTGACAAACTCCTACTCATCCTTCAAAACTCAACCCAAGGCAGTCGTCTGGACAGCCGTCCCTTACTGTTCCAGGTAGTGCCCAAGCCAACCCCAGAGGGAGCAGCTCCCCAGAGTCCAGGCCACATGCCACTTACAACACAGAGAACAGGGGTGACAACAGCCCAGCTGTACTTCATCCAGGGTCCAGGCCGGTAGCCGATCATGTCCTCGATACCATCATAGAAGTTATCACCCCCTGCAAGAGACAGCAGTGAGCTGAGGCGCTGCGGGGTTCAGGCTCTCACGGCCTGGGCGCGAGGCGGCAGGGCATCCCCACACCACACAGACAAGCGCTTGGCGGTCAGGGCCGTGGCCTTCTGGCTTTTTTGTCAACCTGGGCAGGCCCCAAATTCTATAGTGGCCACTGAAGTCTCCAGGGGCTGTTTCTAGACCCCAGGGTAGGAGTCATGGCCAGCCCAGAACCCCAGATTACCCCCCACTGCCGTGTCACCACGCCTGTCGCACCTCGCGCTCCAGCGTGAGGCAGCGTGGTCCTGAGCCTGCCATGTGTGGGGAAGGAGCTGAAAGAAGGGATGGGGAGGCGAGCAGACCCAGTACTCACCATAAATCCAGGCAATAACAATACATTCAAAGAATGCAACCCACAAAAGGCATACACCGCTAGCTGCATAGTAGTCAAAGAGCTGAAACACGTACATGCCACCCTGCGGAGGAAACCAGGCGTGGGGTTGGTGCGGGCCAAGCCCCTTCCTATGCAAAGAGCTTAGCGAAGCAATAAAACCCTAGGGCCAGGAGCATGGCTCAGGGTTGGGCACCTGCCCTCCAAGGCTCCCACTTCTACTTCTAGTACAAAAACAGCACTCAGGAGCCTGAGGCAGGAGGATCGCTGCAAGTGCAAGGTCAGCCTGAACTATAGAGAGAGACCTTGTCTCAAAAAAATAAGAAACAAACAAAAAGGAAAAGCGGTGACCCACGGCCTGGGCTGGGCTGGGGACAACTCTAGCACAACCCTCTGCCTCCCACAGGATGCAGTGCTGTTCACGCTCCTTGGCTCCAAGCTCCTGGCTTTGCCATGTTACCCAGCCCCCTCGAGGCCCTGACAGGCCCAGGCTCCCTCCCCAGCACAGGGAGGAGAGAGCAGGGACTGAGACCTGGGCAAGGTCAGGCCCGGGTCAGCGCCCCTGGGTACAGTGGGATCTGGGCAGGGTGGGACTGAGGGAGAATGTGACCAAGGGCAAAGCAGGGCCCGGCAGGGTACAGCAGGACCTGGTAGGGCACGGGGGGTGGGAGGAGTGGCACCACCTACCTCCGTCACCATCGACAGCCCCAGCAGGTAGCTGATGCTGCACACAATGGCGATGAAGACTTCCCGGCGATAACCCTTCCTTAGGAAGGATGGGTAAAGATCCACCAAGGATGTGATCTGTCCCTCGACTTCAACAAACTGTGGGAGAGGACAGGCCTGAGCGGTGGCCATGACCCCCAAACACGGGCCAGACCCGGCCCCGTGGTCACATGCAGGTCCTTCCTGCCCCAGCGCCCTCTCATCACCCAGGCCCAGCTCTGAACCCTGCACCTCTGGGAGGATGTGCGGACCCCAGGGTCAGCAAGACAAACGCCCTCCTCATCCCGGTCATCTCACGCCCAGGCCTTGAGTGCCCAGCCAAGCCACAAGCTCAAGGCTGTCAACACTAACTTACTGAGTGACTCAGGGCAGGCCTGGGCCTCAGCTTTCCCGCTGGTGGCCATTTACACCAGGTTTCCAGGCAGTTCCTGACCTGTGGCAATCACTCACCCCCGTGGGTAAGCCATGGCGGCGCCTGTGACTTGGGACCCAGGAAGGCGCCTCTTTGGATAGGCATTCTGGGGTGGCGCTCAGGTTTCCTGAGTCTCCCTGTCTTGGGGCCTAGCAATTTCTCCTAGAAACAGTGCCGCCTCACTCCAGGGAGAGCAGCCCCATTTCTTCGATGGCAGCACAAAACCCGACGCTGTGCACTCAGACCATCCTCAGCCCGATCGGTGCCCAACCCACGAGTCCAGGCTCCCGCACCTCCGGACTCAGAAGAAACCCCTCCTCTCCCCCCGTGACAGGAGTTGGAGCTGGGTCTGCATGGAGGTCTCAGGGTGCCGTGCTGGGTTCAAAGGGCCCAGGGGCACAGCTGCCCCAGGCCACCTGATCGGGACCCAGTTTCCTTCTGCTCCTCTGGGGCCTTGTGGGGTAGCCAGGAAGTAGACGTCAACAGAGACACCCAGTCCTGCACTATGGGGTGGCGGGGCGGGGGAGTGGGGTTTCTGTGGGCTACAGGGACGAGGAGCAAAAGAGCAGCCATTACAGCCAACCCATGCCTCAGCATCAGGCCTTGCAAGAAAGGTCCTTCCTTTCCCCAAGTCAGGGAATTACAGACAGGAAGGTCCAGGGCCCCAGTGCATCCATCGAAGGCCAAGACCCAACCTCACTCCCAGCCCCATCCTCTGAGAGCCCCTCCAGCCCCTGCAGACCCTGCCGAGCGGGGTCAGCTCCATGCTTTCCCCTGACTGTGAGATGCTGAGCAAGGTCTGTGACCAAAGAGGACCCTGGTGAGTGCGCTGGCCCTGGCTCCTGGGTACAGGGGAATGGAAGGCCCAGCTTTTGGCACTTGGGGCTGATGGCTCCAAGCTGCACTTCCCTGAGCACCCCAATATCAACAGTCACCCGCTAGCACTGGGTGGGGGACGCCCCCAGGAAGCAGGAGGGTATTGTGATCTCCCTGTCTCATACAAGGCCCCTTCTAGGGACTTAGAGCCAAAGCTGCAGGGGCACAGGAGCGTCGGGACAGGCAGCCCAGGGTCGCCCTTCACTGGCTGTGTGTGGCCTTGACAAGGACTCAGTTTCTCTCAGCCTCTGAGACAGAAGAGGAAGAGGAGGAGGGGGAAGAAAGAAGACCGAGAAAGAGGAGGAGGAACAGAAAGAGGAGGAGGAGGAGGAGGAGGCGGAGGCGGAAGAGGTGGAGGGCCTGTGCTCGGCAGGGAGAGGATCCTGCTGGGGAGCTCGGTGTGAGCATGGCTTCCCAGCGGGGAAGGCGTGAACGGCCCTGGCTGCTCCTGCCGACGGGCGACATGAACCCACAGGTGACACTGCAGGTGGGGCGGGGGTGGACCTGGTGACACCTGGCACCCTGGAACTCCGATGCCATTGACAGTGACATCACTGCCAGCTGCAAACCTTCCTTGACCACCTGTCAAGAGCTCCAGTGCAAACACATGCCAAGCAGGGAGCCCGCCGCACGCAGCGACTGTCAGACACCAACTCCTCCAATCCCCGAGTGCCAGAGGCCAGGGACCCAGCTGGCAGTTGACTCCAGTCCCCTCTGAGGGAGTGGTGTTCGCAACCTTCCCTGAGGTTCTCCAGGAAATTAGTGCTCGAGCCCCGCAGGACCCCAGGCCGATGGTGGATGCTCCCTCGGGGCTCTGGAAGGGCCTGGAGCCGCCCCTGTTGTCGACGAGCTCTGGTCTACAACCACCACATGCTTGTTTGGTCCTCTTTCCCAATCCCTTCATCCTGTCTCCTCCCTGGTCCGGGGCCTTCCTGCCGATCCCTGCCAACGCTTGACCTTGCCAGCCCCCTGACCCTCTCTGACTCCTCCCTTCTGCTTGGCGTCTGACAGCTGTGGCCTTCGGGGAGGGGACTGGGACCACATGGAGCCTGTGTCCCATTCCACCTGCCCTGCACACCACAGCCCTGTCCTGTTCCCCAGCTGGAATGGCTGGGCTCGGGCATGGGACTAAGGGCTCCCTCTGCCGCACACAGTGCTTGCTCTGCGTGGATGAGGTCCTGGTGGCTCCTGGCCCCACGCCCAGAAGAACAAAGGGAGTACTGGACCAAGCCCTGCCTGGAGGCCAGGAGACTGGGAGGCCAGAGGCTTGCATGCTGGCAGAGACTGAGGTCGGGATGGCCACCCACTCACTGCAGTAAGGCCTTCTGCTGCAGTGACCACCCCTTGGCCTAGACAGCAGCCAGAGAGGTCGGCCCATGTCATGTAGCCTTTGCTGCGGCCATGACCTCCAGGGCCTTGGCCATTTCCCTTTGCTGGGGCACTGGGGTGGACAGGTGTTACCCTGCTGCCACGGGAGGCCTTCCCTGCAGACCTGGGGATCCTGCTGGCTGAAGCCTGGAGGGGTCATGAGGAGGAGGGCGGCTGCACAGACACCTACCTGGCTATCCAGTCCCAGCAGGAGGAGCATAATGAAAAAGAGAATTGACCAGAAGGTAGGCAGCGGCATCATGGTCACTGCCTTCGGGTAGGCGATAAAGGCCAGGCCGGGCCCTGAGGAGAGAGCGGGGCACGAGGAGAGGCCATGAGCTACGCAGCCTCAGACCCAGCCTCAGGGTGCTCAGGCCCAGGTCTGGCCGAGTGCAGGCCGGGTCTGCTCTGCGAAGCAGGCGTGTGGGGCTGGACGGGACCCCATTTACCATCTGTGTCCCCTCGTGGACCTGGGGCGGGACACGGGCTCCTCGGCTGGGACCCAGGAGAGGGCAGACCCCCCTCCCACCCCAGAGCCACCAGCCCACAGGACAGAGGCCCGGGAGTCTGCCTACCGGGCCCCGAGCCCTGGATGGACTACAAAGAAGATGTTGCTGCTGCTGAGCTACTGGCTATTACTGCGGGAGTGGAAGCAGAAGAACACAGCACGAGGCCCGTGGGGCAGGGCAGAGCCTGGCCAGAGACAGTGGCCCTGGCCTCATCTTGCCTCCCCTTGGGACAGAGGCCAGAGGCATCTTCCTCCAGCTCCCAGAGGCAGCTGCCTTGGGCTTTGAAGGCAGGGCCCCCAAGGAGCCCTGCAATTGCCCCGCACATGGAGACACGGCCTCCTCCAGCCTCCGCAGGGCCCAGGGAAGACCAGGGTTACCAACACCACACTCTGCAAAGGCCAGCCTTGGGGCCTGGCTGTAAAGTACAACCAACTGCTAAGAAGCAAAGCAAAAACCACCCCAAGAGGCAAGACACAAGAAGGGCCGCAAGCGGGAAGCCTGGAACGTGTTCTAAAGCAGACACCAGAAACCACATGAATGGCTTAAGAATGGGAAAAGAAAACCCACAAAAACGAACTGTTTTTGCAAGAAACTGGAACCAGGAGTCACACTGCAGGCATGACGGTCCCTAACACGCAGGGAGGGCAAGTCCTCCACAACGCAGAGTCTGCTCGCCTGAGATCCCCACCGAGATAGTGACGGTGAGCGTGGGGTCCTCACCACGCTCGGGCCACCTGAGGGGCAGGCAGGAGACAAGCATCCGACCTGGAAAAACCCTGCTCCTCCCAGGACCCTGGGACATGTTCTGCAATCAGAGTTGATGTTGGCATCCAAAGACGCTGCGTGTCCACCTGGGTGGGGACCCTGAGGTCCCCGAATGCACAGCTCTAGTTCCGGCTGACGCACGCCGAGAGAGAAGCTGAGTCCAGCCGGATGCGAGACATGTAAAGTGGGGTCACAGCACCCCCACCCACCAGGGTGCTGGGACAGCCCCAACTCTCTCTGGTTCTACATTTCAGCTCTGCCTTCCTAAAGCCTCTGGAGGAGGGTCCTTAGGTCCCTCTCTGAAGCCAGAGGCCACAAAAGTCCCGAGAAGGGACAATGGCCCAGAGGCCTCCACTGGTGAGGAGCTGGGCTACACCTGGCTGCGTCCCCACAGCTGCATAACTACGTCCTCGTGTGACCGCAGCTCAAGACAGTGCCCTGAGAGCTCATCAGAAACATAACCGCCCTTGTCTGCAGCTGTTCAGACGCAAGGGGAGTTACGGACAAGCGCACGGGAAGAAAACCACTGAGGCTGACGTGCGGAACACAAGCACCCCAAGAAGGGTTACTTCACGCTGCGATACCACAGTGCCCTCGCCAAAAGGGGCTCCCCAGTGATTGGGGCTGGCTTCCCAGTCATCCGCTGAAAGGGTACCACGCACAGTGGGCTATGGTGACCAGGTCTCTGCCACTCCGCCAGGTTATGGTCTCAGGCCCCCGGTCTCTGGGGCCATCGGAAGGGAAAGTACAGATCTGGGGCCGGGTGAGAGGAGAGGGGTATGGGGCTGGGGAGATCTCGATCAAGGGACCACAGCCCCGGTCTGGGGACAGAGCCACGGCTCCAGGCTGGGGAGGCCAGCAACGTGTCACAGCAGAAGGCTGGAGGTGACTGTACATCTGGGGAGCAGGGGGCTGGAGAGAGACCTGTCATCGGGGGCGGTGTGGACGGGTGGGTATCTTACCTAACCCTACCCTAAGTAATCTAACTCAAACCCTAGCCTAACTCTAACCCTAACACTAAGGCCAACCCTGTCTGAGATGTGCGCGTGCGCCTAGGTGCCTGCTGACCCTCTGTGTGACACTCGGGTTGGGCCTGAGGAGCTGCAGTATGACCTGATCTGCCCAGTGTGCCCGTTCTGTGCAGGTCCCCGAGTCACAGCCTGGGCCTCAGCCCAATGTGCAGCACAGAACCTTGTGGATAACCGGTGTGACCCTGCTTGGGCATGGGCAGGACGGGGTGTGAGAGGCCAAAGGGGCTTTGGAGACCCACCCTTGGACCCACATCCAGACTCCAGCAGCTGGGGCGTCCTGGACTCAGGTACTCAGGGCACCATGTGTGACTCCGGGGTCCCGGGTCCCACGTCCCATATCTCAGGCTGTGCAGCCCGGGACCTAAAGCTCCAGGGGTCCCAAAGAGGGGCATTTGGCCCTTGGGGCCGTGCCCAGGAGTGACAGTGCTGAGTCCCCTGCCTCCGCCCTGTGGAAGCCTCCTGGGCTCTACCGTCCCATCCCTGTCCCCTCGTGCTGCGGTGGAAGGAGTGAAGGGGGGCTGCGTAGAGGTGACATGGGTCGGCCCACATCAGGACGGTGACTTCTGCGGCCAGGAGGGGACGGAGGCCGCGTGCTCGCTCCCAGTCTGACACCCACACTCCTGCTGCCCCTCGGGCCACACCGTGTGACAATCCTCGAATGGTGCCTCAAGCGCAGGCGGGGCCACTGGTGGGGGCTTCCGAACCAGGCTCCCCCCGACCCCGGGTCTGGCTTCGCGCCGGCAGCGCTGGGCTCGCACACTAGGTGGCAGTGCCCACCACCACTGCCACCGACACCACCGTACCTGACTCAGCCACATCAGCAATGTCCACCCCTTGCTCTTGTGCCATGAAGCCCAGGATGGAAAAAATTGCGAAGCCAGACACAAAACTGGTACCACTGTTGAGGCATCCCAGCAGCATACAGTCCCTAAGTCACACACGTCAGGGAGCAAGTTAATCACAGCGCAGGAAGCCGGGCTCCCTACTGTCTGTGCATGGCGCCACGGCCGGCGGCACGGCCCGCGGCGCGACACTTGCCTGTACGAGTTGTACTTGTACTTGTTATAGCTCCCCAGCGACGTCATGGCGCCCAGGCAGATGGCGTAGGAGAAGAAGATCTGGGTCCCCGCATCGATCCACACCTGGGTGGGCGGGAAGTGGGTGCCATCAGGGCCACGCACGTCCCACCACCAGCAAGGGACCTCGCGACAAGGCCTGGGTTCCCCACTGCTGCAGGGCGGGTGTTGCGCCCCTCAGAATGGCCAGGAGTGGCCATCTTCGCAGGGCCACAGCAGCCACCTCTGTAGAGCAGGACTCCAACCCTCCCCAGGGAACTGGACCTCACCTCAGAGAGGAAAGACAGACTCAGGGCAAAGCCGCAAGTCACGGTTGTCACCCTGACCGTCCTGGCTGCTGTCAGGGACCCCGAGCGCTATGGGCTGTGTGGGTGAGGTGGCCCAGACCCAGCACGCAGCTCCGATAGCTGGGAAGCTGCCCTCCTACTGCTCCAGACTCTGGCCACCCCTCCATCTCCTTCCTGTGCTGCCCGCGAGGGGCAGGGGATGAGCACGGTGTCCCCAAGGTCCCATGCCTTGTAGTAGGCACAATGGCTGCAGGGGCAGGACCCCACCCCAGGGCACATCTTAGGGGCCCTGCAGGAAGCGGGCACACAGCCAGGAAAGGTGCTTGCAGCTGTGGCTCTGAGCCCAGGATTCCCTGCCCAGCCCACCCGGCCCCGTACCTGCGGGTCCTCCAGGCGGCTGATGTCAGGGTACAGGTAGAACTTGATGCCTGCACCTGCGCCGGGCAGCGTCAGCCCGCGGACCAGCAGCACCAGCAGCATGGCAAATGGGAAGGTGGCTGTGAAGTAGACGACCTGCAGGGACAGAAGGCAGTGGGCCAGGGCCTCATCCCTGGGCGGAGACCTGAGCAGCACCTGACCCCTGCCTCGAGGATCTTCTGGGTCTGGGGCAGTCCAAGAATGCCCTCCTCATTACCTGGGCATCGTCAAGCCCAGAAGATGAGGATGAGGCTGGAACTGAGTTCTGCCCTGGGGGATACAGCACCCGGCTCTGCCTATCAGAGAGCACGCCTGTTACCTCACTTCCCACGGTCAAGGGTCAGCAACCCTGGGTGCAAAGCCCACCTCTGACCTTCATTTGCTTAACCTCTCTGGGGCATGGTTCTCCATATGAAGTGGGGACATCTGTAACCTCTGCTGTGCAGGAGCCTGAGGCAGGAGGACCACAAGTTCACACCCAGCCCTTCCCTCTAGGTGAGACCAAGTCTCCAAATAAAACTACAAAGCCTGGGGCTGCGGCTCAGTGGTTGAGGCCTGGCCTAGCAGCTGTAAGGCCTGGGCCCTGTCCTGGTACAGTCACGGAAGTGCCTTGCAAAGGGGTGAGGAGGCTCACAATGCCACCTACAGGGCACCTGACACCAAGCAGGTGCTCGGGAAACTGCCTCGCTAACCCCAGCTGAGTCACATGCGACTGGGGATATCTGGGAAAAGTGACACCTGGTTGTCCCCCACATAGGCAGAGCAGGGCACCCTCCCCAAGGCCAGCAGGCAGTGGCCGCCCCACCCCCAGGCTCTGCTGTGAGTCACTGCCCCTGGACTTCAGCCACCCTAACATGCAGGGCTCGGCGCGAGCCCTGAGGACCCCAGTCTTGGCTCACGGCTCAGAGCTGGTAACAGGCCGCAGACAGCATCTTCAGCGGTCTGCGCCACCAGGACGATCCCAGCCCTGTCTCTGCCACCCTCCCTGTGTACGTATCCTTTCCCCAAACCTGTTTACCTAAACACCCTTAGTTCTTTTCTCCCAGGCTGGGACCCCCATGGTTCTCCAAAGCAGGGCAGGTGGATGTGGAGGACGAGGGCAAGTCAGGAAGTCACAGAGGAGGACAGGCTTATCTCTTCCCTTCCTCTGGACAGGCAGGCAGGCTTCCAGCAAAGCTGCCATCTCACCCATGTGACCACGCCCTGGCTGGGGACAATAGCTGCAGACAGCAGCCCGGCAGGATCCCTTGGTGACCAAACTTCCAAGCAGCCTCAGTGGCCAGGCAGAGCCTGGGGCCTAAGGCGTCTGCGCCCTGCTTGTCCCGACTCAGCCTCCTCTAAAGGCCGCCTTGTTTTGCAGCCTTGTGCCCCTGAGAGCTGTGCTCCCAGCTTCCCAGGCTCCCCGGGGTCCTGAGGAGCTGTGCCAGGCGCCACAGCGGGCCGCGGTGATTTTCCGATTGCAGAGAACATCCCTGGCCGCTCCAAGCACTCGACCCCAAGCTTGCAGCCTGGGCACCCAGGAACAAAGCAGCCAGGAGGTCTGGAAGGTACAGCGGAGACCCCAGCTCCGACGCCCACACCCTGCTTCCGAGCCCTGGACAGCCCAGTGGCCTGGCGAGCCCACAGGCACGTCCCCCAGGACGCCACGCTCTAGGAAGGCAGGACGTCGGATGAGGCTGAGTGGGGCCATGGACGACCACGTAACACCGAGCCTCTGCCTCCCCATCTGGGACGTGAGACCCAAGGCCCACTCCAAGGGCGCCCCGCCACCCTCACATGTGGAGCAACAACGCCGTCGCCAGGCCCCTCGGGCCCTGAATATCAAAGAGGCGTCTGCGGCCGCCTAACGGGGTCACCGCAGAGGCTGCCAGGTTCAAGGAGGTCCCCAGGGTCTGTCTGTCTTGGCTGCTCGGAGCTGCCTAGGCCAGGCCATTGTTCTGGGACCTCGAACAGCCCTGAGAGGGTGTCGCTGGGTGGGGCCCCCACAAGTCACGTCTCCCTCCAGGGAGCTCGGCCCTGTGGCCACTGCGTGTCAGTCTCCTCCCTGGCCCAGGCGCCCAAGACACTGGTGGGACAGACGTCAGGGTCTTTGCATGGCTGTGCCCACCGCAGTCTCCCCTCTGCACACCTGTGCTCTGCTTCGAGTCCCAGCTGACTGCCCTACTTTGAATGACACCCATGCTTCCTGCTGTCCTCCACCACATGGTCCTCCATCACTTGCCATACTGCAGCTCTTGCTCCTGGCACACGGGGAGGCTCAGGAGCTCTGGATTGCACAGCACAGCCCCTGTGCTCCTTGGCAATCTCCTATGTACTCCTGTCTGCATGGGGAAACCGAGGCAAGGCAAAGAAGGTGACTCATGTTCACCAGGCCTTCGGTGTTGGGCATCTGACCCCTCACTACACCACAGATGAGGAAACCAGGGCTCAGAGGCGAGGTGTCAAGGAGGAAAGCAGGTGGTGTGAGAGGCAGAGCTCTCTGAGGAGCCTGGGACACCATCTCCCACCCCTCCTGCCCTCTTCTGGGGAGCGGGATTTTCAGGCCTGGGTCCCAGGATGGCAACAGGACAGCTGGCCCAGGAGACCCGGCTGAGTGTGGAGGTGCTGGGGCTCGGGGGTGTGTTCCCCAAGGCTCTGAGTGCCACTAGGGCGGAGTCGGGGAGACCAGGTCACTGCCCTGGAGGACAGGGGACTGCCTCCCTGCCTCACTCACCTCCCGGCCCCGTGACGGGCGCAGCCTCCTGGCTGAGCGCTCCAGCCCAGGCCAAGGTGAGGGCCAGAGACACGGACCAGAACCTCTGCATCGCGGGCCCTTCGGCCTCTCCTGCACTGAGTGCTGGTCCTGGACACCGTGTCACAGCAGTGGGAAGCTGAGGCGTGCGGGGTACTCACTTGGGCCCCCCAGGGGACAGGAGGAAGCTCAGACCCTGCTTAAAAAGCCTTGGACTCCTCCCTCCCAAGGCCTGAGCCTCTGGAGGCATAGTGGGGGCAGCCACGCTCGTCCAGCCGTGCCCTCCACCTTTGCCCTCAACCGCTGCCTGGAGATGTTGCTGACTTGGGGCTGCTTCAGTCTTAGCGAAGTGAATAAGGGGGGGCCTTGAGGATGGCACTGGTTCGCAGGGACACAGCTCTAGGTGGCTGGGCCCTGTGAGACCCCTGTGCTGCGTCGGGGCCGGTTACGCACCATCTGCGCTAATGGGAGAGGAGGGGGCTTTTGGCTAAGGTCTTCACCCCCAGTGGCCACTTCCGTGCGTGCTAATGTGCCACTGCATTGTCACAAGCCAGCCACACCAAGTCCCCTAGCTACAGGGAGCCACTGAGCCGGGGCCAGCTTCCCAGCTGCAGGCGGATGATGTCGATGGCAGCTGCACTTCCCCAAGGACCAACATAAAGGCCACGGCTGAGATCTTAGCTAGAGGACATCTCGGCCAATTGGCCTCAACAGCCATCCCTAGGCCATGCTGACAGCGTCCCTTGCACGGGGACCCTGGGGACTGGTGCTGGAGCCTCTGCCATGTAGTTGGTGCCGTGCCAGGGCTCTGTCCCATGGTGTCTCTTGTGGGAGGAGCACCCTGCTTACCTTCCCTGTGGAGCGCACGCCCTTCCAGATGCAGAAGAAGCACACCAGCCAGACAAGCAGCAAGCAGAGCGCCAGGTCCCACTTGAGCGCACCAGGGTGGTCGATCCCAGGGGACAGGCTCAGCACGTTGCGCCTGGGAACAAGCACAGGGCCAGGTCAATGGGCAGCACTACCCCCAGGGATCCCTCTGTCCAGGGACAGAGCTGCTGGGGAGCGCCGAGGGGGCCTAGGTGGGCATGCGGCTTAGTGGTGAGCACTTGCCTGGCACAAGATGGCCGTGGGTGCCGTTCTTAGCACCCGAGGGAGAGAGGGGAGAAGGGAAAGTGCATTTAGATACAGGATGGGGTGAACTGGCTTCAGCTCAGGCTGGTCCCAGGCTGAAACCCCAAGCCTCAGCTTCTTCATCTGTAACAGGGAATCAGCTCTCCATGGGGTCTAGGACAGCCTTCTTCCACGGGCTCCAGTGTGGGCGGGCTGGGTCCTCTCAGCTCCCGCTCGCTCACAGCCCTGGGCTCCCCATCTGGCTCCTGTCCCACCCCTCTTCATGACATCCCCTGAAGTATTACCCCGGTCTCCCCTAAACTGCAGCCCTCAAGAAGGCAGAGTGTGCTGTGGTGTGCTGCAGGGTCAGAGGAGAAATCCAGGCCAGGCCCTAAACCCAGGTCCGGATGCAGCAGCACATGGTTGGCCCCCCTGTGACGAGCGCGGCACTCAGAGCCCCAGGGCAGGGCCTGCTGGTGGGCCCAGGTCCAAAGAACCAAAACCAGAGGCTCAGAGTGGGCACAGCACTGTGTCTCCTGCGGGGCCCTGGAGACCCCAGGAGCAGGACAGACGTTTTCAAGGGTAAAGGCACAGGGAAGCCATCGGCCCCGCTAAGGAACGCATGGCAAAGCCCGTGGTGCTGCCCACGGGGGCTGCTGCTGGCTGAGATTACTCGACCTGCCACCCACAGATGGTGCCGCTGTACTTGGGCAAAGGAGCGAGTCTGCCTTGCCAAGCAGGCACCAGCCCAGCTGAGCCCCAGCTGCCAGCCCCTGGGTGGCTCCCTGCTCGAAGGCTGCAGCCTCAGAACACAGCAACTCTGCCTCAGTTTCTCCTTTGCTAAGTGGGGACTCACAGCTCCTGCCCGGGATGCTGCCAGGGAACCTGTGGTCACCGTCAGCGTTCTGTCCTGCAGATGTCCTCACACTGGGACTGCCTCACATCTGCCCTCCCGTCTTCCAGAAGCTGACACAAGGCCTCAAGGAGACTTAGCTCCCGGTTCCACCACGCTCGACTTGAGCTCTGCTGCTCCTGGCACTAACACTGCTTGGTGCACGTGAGACAAGAGCCCCTGCTGCCCTGGGTCTCTCATCAGACCCACATTGTAGAGATGGGAAAACTGAGGCCAGACTCTGAAGCCAGGGCTCGGTTATCTTGGACACCAAAGTCTGACTTTAAGGAAGCTGAGCCCTGGCGTGAAAGGGCCTCCTCTGCCCTCTGAAACATGGGTCCCTGGGGCTCAGGACCTCCAGGAGGCCCAATGCCAGGCAAGAGGACACAGCCTGCCAGCAGGAGGAGCGCACGTTCCACCACACCCCACATTCTGCCTCTACAGCCTCGGGTGGCACTGTGGGGACCCATCTGACCCTGGCTGTCACGGTCCTCCTCCCAGTGACACCTGCCAGGCTGTCCCTGCATGGGCACAGGGAAGGTGCTGGGTTAACAAGACAGACGTCTCTCCAGGCCAGAGCGGCTCAATCCCTGCCTGCACCCAAGTCCCGCTGGTCTGAGCCTGCAGCTGGCTCTTGCCGTACCCCTTCTGCCTGCTCCCCGACACCAGGCAAAGCAGCGGTGCCCAGGCTGCTGTGAGCTCATGTTGGGCAGCTGCCCACCTCGGCCACAGCAAATACCACAGGCCGGCTTCTCTATGCTGCTCGTCACACCTGGTGGGGTCTCAAGGCACTGTCTGGGGCACCAAAGGCTGTTTGTCCTGACCAGTAGGTCCACATCCTCCAGTCCTCGCCACACATGTGGTGAGGCAGCATCCACCCTCACAGGGCCGAGGTCCAGGCAGGAGACTCGACTGGGACAGGGCTCCGGACAAAAATGCAGGCTCTCAGCGGGCCCCAGGGGAGCAAGGCATTCCTGCCCTGTGAGGCAGGGGCCTCACCTAACAATGAATTTTTAAAAACCATTGTAATGGTTTAGAACTATTATTTTAGCTGGGTGTGGTAGCGCACATCTGTAATCCCAGCACTCAGGAGGCTGAGGCAGGAGGATCATTTCTAGTTCAAGGCCAGCCTGGGCTACAAAGTGAGCTCATGGCCAGCCTGAACTACGTAGTAAGACCTTGTCTCAAAAAGACAAAAAAAAAAAAGAAAAAAAAAAAACAACTATTATTTTAGATTCTTAAAAAGCTGTGTCCAGGGCCTCTCAAACACCCTGGGAACAGAATGGATCCATTTCATTGAGCACCACCCTTTCCACTGCCATCCCGGTGGCTCCAACCCAGCCTAGTGCCCCCATGGGTCCCTTCACGTCTGACCCGGGGTCTCCAGGTCCCTGGGGTGGCAGCACTACCCCCAGGGATCCCTCTGTCCAGGGTGCCCTCCAGGTCCCTGGGGTGGCAGCTGGGACCATGACCTCTTCCAACTCGCACTCAGCAAACTGGAGCATGCAGTGCCCAAGGGGATGCCCTGCTGCACGGGCGACTTATGCATCTCCTGACTCTCCCAACCCTGGCGCCCAGGCCAACCCGCCTCCCAGCCACAGGGAACCCTCAGCTCCTCAGCTTCCTGTGAGTCCCGCTTCCTACAGCCAGTGGCCCCAAGCTATCTTATCACACAGACAGACACCTCAGGGTGGAGTCCCATGTGGGTGAGCTGGAGGCACTGCTGCCCCAGCCCTACCTTGTCCCACACTGCCCTGGGCCTCCTCCTCCGGGCCAGGTACCATCCTGCCTCAGCCCCCTGTCCCTGGTCACCTACATTAGATACAGCCCTCACCCCTGCCCTTTCTTGGCCTTTACCCTGACCTGCCTGGGGTCCCAGGCCACAGCCTGCAGTGTGGACACTGTGAGCAGTGCCCACGTGGCACGCAGAAGGCGTCTACCCAACACCAGCCGAGGGAATGAAGCCTAGCTGCTGTGTGGAGAAAGTGAGGTTAGACTGGGCTCAGGAAGCCCCCTGACATCACCAGAGCCCACCCTGGACTCTCTCCGTTCTCCTCTCCCTGCGGGCACTGCCCTCCACAGCAACAATAGCTGTGACTCAGATGGGCGGGGCCCGCGCCGCGAGCCGGACATCTGCGCCAGCCGGCCGCCGCCAGCCACACTGGGAGAGGAGAAGCACGGAGTGCGGCCAATGTCTTCCTCTTGACCGCAGGCCAAACCGGCCTTGGCCGCGTGCCCCGGGACAGCGGCGACATCATGAAAGGCTGTCGTCCGCCTGCCTGGCGCGAGCCTCTCCTCCTCCTCCACAGCCTCATGCGGAGGCTGGAGGAGGCCTGGGGGCAGCAGGTGGCCTTGGGGACAGGAACCTGGGGAGCAAGGACCCAGGGGGCAGGCTGGGCAGGCAGGGGGGCCTGGCTCAGCCGCGTGTGATGCCAGCATCGGGGTGCACGCATCTCCCATTTTAGGGCGAGGCTCCCAGCACGGAGACGTTTGGCCCTGTGACTGGCCCTAAGCCGCGGACCTGGCCATGGAGATAGAAGGGTCAAGTGGGTGAGCCGAGGTGGGTGACACTTCACATCCACAAGGACTCCAGGCAGGCTGGGCGGGCAAGATGCAGACAGTGGCCGAATCACCAGCTGGATGTGGCTGTGTCCAGGGTGAGGGGCCCCTCCTGCTCTGCCTGGAGCCCAGGGTCTCAGCTCCCCTGGCTCGGACCCCTGGACTCTCAAACCTTGGGTGGTGCAGCCAGGAGAGAGGAGGGCCACATTGGGGCAGGGACAGAGCAGCCGGGAGCCTTCCTCCGCCAGGCCTGGTGTGGAGATCCCAGGGTGGCAGCACTATGAGTGAATGCTGTTTGCAAGAGGGGTCAGCGCGAGAAAAGCCGTGAGAGGGCCCTGAGAGAAACAGCGGGAGGACTCAGGACCAGGACAGAGAGGAGGACTAAGCAGGGAGCCATGCGGCTCAACTCCCCAATGAAGGGACAGGGGCTGACTGCAGATACAAACACTCACGGAGCCAGCACAGATTAAAACAGGTCTCACCCTGGACTCACCCATCTGTTGCTTCCAAGCTGGCTGTAACAGGCCACGCTAAAGTTTAAAAGACCTCAAATGATTGCTCCTGGCACTCAGACATCACCACCCATCCTGGAAGAGCCCACAGCTGCCTGCAGGCTCCTGAAGGAGCCCCAAGCTCACACTATCCACAAATAATGAAGACCTAAACAGCACCAGTCTACAGCTAGCAAGTTTGGAGATGATTGTTACACAGCAAGAGCTGACTGAGACAAGCTGGGCACAGCAGTATACTCCTGTAATCCCAACACTTAGAGGCCGAGACAGGAGGATCTTGAGTTTAAGGCCAGCCTGGCCAACTTAATGCAACCCTTTCTCAAAATAAAGAAAGCTCACAGATACTACAAATCGACCTTCTCACCTTTTCACCTGAGTGACTCCTTCACTCCCCACATGTATTTTTCTCTGTGTGATAACAGAAAATGCATTTTCCTAGAACACATTAAGATCACAAGATCGTTTTCAAACAATCTAAATACATGTCCCTGTGCGGGGGACAGCAATCATCACAGGGACCCAGGGTACAGCAACAACTCACTCCCCTTGGGGACACAATTGAGGAAACTAAAGCCTGTATAAAGCCAAACAGCCAGGCAGTGGCAGAGCTGGACTCAGCCCCAGGCTGGAGCTCCACCCGCCCCAAGACCTGGCTTACTCCCAGAACTCCACGACGGGGGACTTCGTGATGTTGGCAGGGCTCATTGTGACCCACAGGCTCTTGTTCCTGCGCAGCGTGTCCTCCAGGCACTGCGGCGTGTTCCAGGTGTGGTTGCAGTGCGCCCAGGGCAGCTCCCGCTGGAAGGACTGGAACAGGTAGTAGGTGGCCCAGGCCAGGATGACGATGTAGTACACATTCAGCAGTGACACAATCACAATGGACGCGTAGCCAATGCCTGTAGGCCAGATATGCACTCGTCAGCTGGGGCCACAGGATGATGTCCCAAGCCTGCAGCCAGAGGGGCCTCTGACAGTAAACAACTGTCTGTGAAATGGAGGACTGGGCGCAGGGACACATGAAGGACAGTCAGGGAAAGGGACGGGTGGTCAGCCAGCATGCAGCTGGAAGGATGGATGCTCAGACAGATGGACAGAGTGTATAGAAGGGTGGATGAGTAGGTGGGCAGTGAGTGGGTGGGTGGAAGGATGGATGGGTGGGTGGATGAATAGGTGTAAGGGTGGGTGGGTTGGTGGATGGATGGATGGATGGGTGGATGGGTGGGTGGGTTGGTGGATGGATGGATGGATGGATGGGTAGGTGTAAGGGTGTGTGGGCTGGTGGATGCATGGATGGATGGACGAGTGGATGGATGCATGTGTGTAAGGGTGTATGGGTTGGTGGATGGATGGATGAGTGGATGGATGGATGAGTGGATGGATGGATGGATGGATGGATGGATGGATGGATGGATATAAGGGTGGGTGGGCTAGTGGATGAATGGATGGAGGGATGGATGGGTGGATGGATGGATTGGTGGGTGGATGGAGGGGTATAAGGGTGGGTGGGTTGGTGGATGGATGGAGGGATGGAGGGATGGATGGATGGATGAATGGATGGGTGGGTGGGTACAAGGGTGG